GGAAATGAAAACTAAGGGAGGGATGGAGGGGGAACTGAGGAGGTATGGGGGAAACGAGGAGGTATGGGGACCTGGACGGAGGTATGGGGGAACGGAGTGAGGTATGGGGGGTGAACTGAGGGAGGTATGGGGGAACTGAGGAGGTATGGGGGAACTGGAGGGAGGTATGGGGGGAACCTGAGGATGGGGGAATTGGTGAGGTTTGGGAGGAAACTGAGGGAGGGAACTGGAGGGGGGAACTGAGGAGGTATGGGGAAACTGAGTGAGGTATGGGGGAACTGAAGGAGGTATGGGGGAAACTGAGTGAGGTATGAGGGGGAACTGAGGGAGAGGGGGGGAACTGAGGGAGAGATGGGGGAAACTGTGGGAGGTATGGGGGGAGAAAACAGTGTGGGATGGGAGAAAATAAATGAGGGAGGGATGGGGGGAAAGAAAACAGTGGGGGGGGGAGAGGGGTCGACATACACACAGCACCCTTGCCCTACACACAAACACACACATCACCTCACACACAAACACATACACTGTACCCCTCAATGCAGTGTGTGTACACTCAGCAGTCTGTCTGTGTGTGTACACTCAGCAGTGTGTGTGTGTGTGTGTACTCAGCAGTATGTGTGTGTGTATTTAGGAGTCTGTGTACTCAGCAGTCTGTGTGTGTATTCAGCAGTCTGTGTGTGTGTGTGTGTGTGTGTATTTAGCAGTCTGTGTGTGTATTCAGCAGACTGTGTACTCAGCAGTCTGCTAAATACAGACTGCTAAGTACACAGACTGCTAAATACACATACAGACAGACTGCCGAGCACACACACAAACTGCTTAATACACACACAGAGATGTTAATTATTTCGGACAACTGTATGAGTTGTTTTTTCTAAACTTAAACCTCAGTATTCAGGTTTAATTGCCATTTTGGCACTTTGAGGGGAAAAAAATTGGCATGTATTACGGTTTGGGCACTCGGGCTCAAAAAGGTTCGCCATCACTGGTCTAGGTGTTGCCTGTGGATGTGGAATCTGTCGATCCTTATGTAAGTCTTGTGGGGAGCGGAGTAGTAGGTGTAATCCCTTTGGTGTGGGTGCAGTACTCTCCATGTGTCATATAGTTGGTGGTCGTCCAATAGTTTCTTATATGTGTTGCATGTGGAGTTTAGTTTTGCCCTTTGTTTGGAGTTTGAGTGTTTGGTTGTATCCCATAAGGGATCTACAATGTGGTTGATGTCTCGGCATACGATCAACATGCCTCTTTAAACCTGTGTTGTTTTAGTTAGTAGCTTGTGAAGGAAGTTTCTTTGGTCAGTGTTTGGAGCATAGAATACACCATAGTCTCGATCTATGTTATTTATAGTGCATAGTAGAATAATATATCTTCCCATGGAATCTGTGTGAATCATGGTGTGTGAATGCTACTGTGTTTTTGATGAGGATTGACACACCTTTGGATTTGTGCCCTGTGACTGAGTGGTACTGGTGTCGGTAAAGATCTAGTCTGAGTAGGGGGCTTGTTTTAAAGTATGTCTCTTGAAGGCATATAATTTCTGCCTGTTCCTGTTTCAGGTCCCTGAATAAACAATGTCTTTTGTAAGGGGTGTTTAACCATTTCACATTATGGGAGTATACTTTCATATTGTGGTTGTATTACGTATGCGCTAGTTATTTTTATTCTATGTTTTAGTGTGTGGTTGCTTTTGTTGCTCTGTGTGCGATTTCTGTGGGTGTCTTGGAACCCGCTGTATTCGGTTCTATCGTTCTTGAACAGCCTATTCTGGTGTGCAGCACCCTTTCTTACTTGTCGTTGTGCTGCCTTGATTTTGCGGTTTAGGGAGGTGGGATGTTGGGGTAACTGGGGAGGATCGGGGGAGAACAAGTAGTAATGTCTACTACTAATACCCTAAATTGGGCTTGATTGCAGGTTGCCGGCACCGCTTGGAAGCGTGGTGGGGGTTTAAACTTGCAATACAATAGGTACGTCCGACCCCTTTCAGTGTAATACAGGGTTTTCCCTTTCAGTTTGGTGATTGAGGTCCCGTCTTAATTGAGTTTACTGGGATTTTCAATATCACTGGTACTGCATTTTATACTTTATGTTGTTGTTTTAGTCGCCCTTTCTGTGTGTCGGTCGAGGGAGTTATGTAATCACTGTAAAGTCTGTTCCCCTCTTTAGGTGGTAATACTCTGAGTATTGTAAGAGGGTCCTGGTGGGGTATGTAGGTTGGCTTTTGCAACATTTGCTCTTCCTACCATCCGTGGTAGTTGGCATTTAAGATTTAACCGTTCAATCATCACATTTTTGAACATGAAATAACATTATGTTAGACATAACTAAACAATGTAAGCTATAACATCTAAATATATGTAGACTTAACATGCTGCTATTTTTTTGAACATTATGAATATTCCCTGACTCAATCTAGCATTGTACAGCTACGTTGGCTTACAGGGAAGAGGCTATCTAGTTAAATACAGTGCAACATTACTTAATTACTAGATTGTATTCAAACCCTCTGGTCCACGGAGGTCCTTTTATCTTTGGGCTTTTTTCCAGTCCAAGGATAATCTTTGTGAAGGCTGCATTTTCTCTTTAGGTTGCTGCGTGGTGATGCCCCAGGATTTCAGAGCTTGTTTGCCATCTTCCGGTGTCAATATGGTTGTGAGAGTTCCGTTTCTATGTATAATTAGGTGTACCGGATGGCCCCAGCGGTATGGGAGCTTCTGGGTCCTGAGGGCTTCCGTGATTTCTTTGAATTCTTTGCGTTTCTGGAGGGTAAGTGCTGAGAGATCCGAATATAGCTGTATGGGTCCATAACATTCTGGTAGATGATCTCGTGTTCTTGATGTTTGCATAATGGTTCTTTTAAATGATAGTAGTATAATTTCGCTAACACGTCTCTTGGGGCTTCCGCTGGTAAAACTTTTGGTTTGGCCACTCTATGCACCCTATCTATGAGCAGCATATCTGCGGGTAAATCCGATGCTAGCACTTTAAACAGGCCTGTCAGAAACTCTGTTAGGTCTGGGTGTTTCACTTCTTCGGAGATGCCGCGGAATCTTATGTTTTGGCGTCTCGATCTGTCTTCTAAGTCCATTATCTTTAGCTGTAGCTGGTCTTGTTGGTGTTCGATTCTCTGCACATGCTCCGCCATGTCGTTGTGAGCTTCCGCAAATTCTCCCATTCTGTTCTCCATTCTGGCCGTGCGGTCGCCGAGATCTTGCATGTCCTTCCTGAGGTCTGCTAGGGATTTATTGATGTTAGATAAAATTTTGTCTGACATATTTTCTAGGCACTTTTGCAGCACGCCTTGTGTGATCGGCAGGTTCTCTATCAGGTCTTTCTGCAGCGGCAGTGTGTCATAGCCGTTGCCATCTTGGTCGCCCTCTTGCACTGCGGCCTGCTTGGATTGATGAGATCTGGCTCCAAAGCATGTATTTTTTTCTCCTTTGTCCGGGATTTTAGTTTTGTTCTTCGTTTGGGACATCTTTAGGTTCTCTTTTTTATGTTTCCCTGTGATTTTTGCTAGTAAAAACACTTTGTATGGGTCTGTAGGAGCGGAGCTCTGGTTACATGCGACTGTCCTCGCCGTGGGTTAGACCACGCCCCTATAATGATGTAAATTGAGGGAGTTTTACAGTGTATTTCTGCACCTTTTTTCTACTGCACTATTTTTGCATAAATACAAAGAGTGTTGTATAAAGGGTATTTTTGCACTTTATTAAGGCATTGCAATTTTTGCACAAATAAGAGTTGGATTCTTCACTTTATATTAAGGTCTTAAAGACACAGTACACTTTTTAAATGATGTTGCAATAATGGGATGTAAATACGTTATCTGCATGTATCCTGCCTATTATACCAGCATGATATTTTTTGAGAGCAAAAGCATGTATGTGATCTGTTAATCATTCTACCTTTTTATAACTAAATGGACACTATATTTACCAGAACAACTACAGTTTAATGTAGAATGGCAAGCTCCACAAGGGAGCGCCATGCATGCCTGCATGGGGATGTCCAGTATCACCCCAAAACCCCATAAAAAAAAGCAATGTATAAAGCTTTCTTATGTAGAAATCCAAGGGACATTGGTGCTAGACAGAGGTAAGTGACAGACAGGGGTTTTCTCTCATTCTGCACCACTGGTGGGGAGGGGGTGGGGAAGGGGAAAGCTATAGTACCAGGAAAACAACTGTGTTCCTGGCACTATAGTTTCCCTTAAACATTGCAAGGTAAACATTGCAGTTTCTCTAAGATTAAGTGCTCTTGGTGCCCAGAATTTCCCTTTAGGGCCACAAAAGCTACTTAACTCTGTGTATTTGTCTCCTAGATTAGAACATTTCTTCCTAGGATATTTCAGCTTGTTAAGAGGACAATTGTCCAGTGTTTGTGGAGTCAACATTCCAGCCGAAACTCAAAATTCTAGGATCAGATAAGTCCATTTCATCAGTTATATTATTGTATGCTTTGGTGGAATTTTGAGCCTGAGAAAGAGTACATAAAGGCAGATTCCAAAAAGTCCAGATTAGGTTGGTTATAAAGGAGGCAACATCATCCATGTTGATATATATTTGTTCATATATAGATCTTTACACAAATGTTCTGATAATTTCTAGAAGGCAGAGAACGGAGCAGTGAAACTGCAGGAGCATTATATCTATACACCAACACTACTCCATGAAACTAAGTTGTTTCAATGCTTAAAATGTCCCTTTAGCTAAAACTAATTATTTTTAAAAAAAATTAAATTAAGAAAAAGATTTAAAAAAAATTCTATTCAAAATGGTAACTTAGGTTCCTTGATTTGCCAATACCAATCTCTGGTGTTTTCTTAAAATTCAAGCATTGGCTAGATGTTTGCATATGCATTTCATTTTAATTATGCCTTCTCCAGCAAATATGTTTTTTCCCCCCCAAACACTACTGAACCTTTAAGTAGATAAGTTGTATAGCTGTATATATTTGTAAATGTAATCAGCACTTGGTGAATGAAAACAAGTGACACGAAATAGATTAGGCTAATGTATTTTATTTGAAGGCATTATTGCACACATGATGGATACATTAGTACAGACAGGTGACATGTCATAGTAAAGAGCAATTCTGAAACATCAACTCTTCCTCAGTTTTGTGCGTATTTCATCTTCAAGACAGGTAACCGTTAAGACACTGACATTCCGCAGAAAATTGGTTTTGCGATAAATACTGCAGATACAGCACATGCGACAGTTTACATGTAAAACGCAGCCACTCATCAAGCTACCGAAGTGATTACATTTTCTAGACATTATTCCAATGTAAGAAGCAGCAATTGATGAACCGGTCTTCAGTTAATCTAGATGAGGTTGCCCAACAAGAACCATCATGCCAATTTTTTTTTTGAGTGCGTGTGTGTTGTACAGTCTACTCCTGACCCCGAGTGCCTGTTCTTTCATCAGAGATTATGTGCATTCTCCATTGACCAAGAAAAGAAAATTATCGAAACCTCAGTTAGGTGAATCTTCATAAATTTTTGTTTGCTTTTGATTTCACCGATATAAACAGTCCACACTATGAAGCTAATGACAAATCCCTTCTAATGCATTTCAGTAAAGTTCCAGCGGGGGAGGAGGGGGAGGATCAAAGCAATTATAGTATGAGAAGGCCACGGCAGGAACAGCCATTTTTTCAGTTTGTTTATTTGCAAAACCAATAGGTTTTAAACATCCAGTGTACTCTTTCCTCTTAAGACAAAATAAACCAGAAGCAAACAAACAAACAAAAATCCTTCTTTTAGGAAACTAAACAGAAGTATTTCCTTTCTAACAGTACTGGCCAACTAAGACTGTTGCCAATCACAAAATAATAATTGAAATGTGCAAAGTTTTTCTTACCACTCTCTCAGTGTCGGATCAGCAGCACTAGTGAGAAAATCTCAGCAGGCTAAATAAGATTGGGCAATGTTAGGTAGCAAAAACCAAAGAAAAAAAAATATGGTTTTTACTATATGTATTTTGGCTGATGTGTACTATGGTCGTTGCTGCTGCCCAGGAATAATGGGAGTTTGAGCGCAGGACTTGTTTCTTTGTGTTTGTTTTCAATGTTAGGTAGCAGCTGAAGCGGCAATAGGTATTACCCCTAGAAACAGGGAAAAGTGCACTTTCCATAAACTGCCCTTAAATAACCTGCCCCAAGTGACCCTGTGACACTAGCTACAGGGATTGTGGCACAATTCACATTGATTGTCCCCTGTAACTACAACACTGGCAGATAAAGAAATAGTTGTACGGTACTGATTCACTTCGTATGAAAACACAATTAATGTCCGTTCAAACCGTGTCCTCAGCAATCTTTTACACACAAAGATTAATCTTCGCTTATATATTTTTCTTTCTTCCAAATATATAAACCAGACTCCGAAAGCATAAGACATTCACAACACTAACACGTCTCATGTATATTGGAATACAAAAACATCAAAAGGATGTTGCAAGCCAGAGATAAACCTTGTCAACCTATCTGATCTTCAAATCAGGAATAAGGTCAAACAAATGGTAGAACAATTCAGATTTTATCTAAATCAGTGTTCATGGTTGTGAGTTAGCCAGGTCCACACTGCTACAGGATTTATTCCTAAACCCACATGTTTACTCAAAAGGGTTCTCAAAGGCAATATCACACTATTAAAGGTTAACTAATTCTCTGTGTTTTCTAATAATATGTTTAGGCTTATTTGCATTTTTAGGTTTTTTGAAGTTTTATGGGTCATCAAAGCTTAAACTGTTGGTCACCATAACTAGAAGGGTATTAGCCATACATCACTGACACGGATAAAGGGTCCGATATATCACCTGAGATTATTTGTATAGATCTCCTGCAGAGGAGACCTACCTAGCATATAGATTCTGGGACTGGCCTTGTGGGTAAAAATCAGTCTGATAAACAAATGTTATAGTGTTTCTCTGCAATGGCACATGTAACAAATCAATTTAGATTGTTTGTCCCAATTTGTTTTACTTATTTTCAGAGCACTTTTATCAGAAATTGTATTAATCCCACGTGTCTCCCAAAATAGAACAAGCATTAGCATGCCCATAAAACATAAAAAAACTTGATGAGTACACAATGATATTTCAAAGAACTATAAACGAAGACAAAGGACAATGTACACTTTAGCAACTGTGAAAAGATACGGCTTTCATAAGCCACTTTATTAAGTGTACAAAGGATTAGAAGATCAGATGTGTCTTGTTTAGAACAAAATGGATTCGCTCATAGGTTCTTTGAGTAAACTCGTTCTATTCTGGACAAACGCGTCAGATGTTTTAATGCTTTGTACACTTCTTAATGAGCCTTGTGGAAGGCATTTTGGAAGCACCTGTGCCGGACAAGGCTGATTGCCTTTTCCTGGAATGAGGCGGATTATACCCTTTTGCATACAGCAGCTCTTTTTGCAGTAATTGGAGCTGTATGAAAATAGAGAGAGTGTATACCAAGGCCAATTTTCCCAGCATAGAATTATATACTGTGGTGCAACAGCTTAAAACGTAAAAACACAATACCTCTAGAAATATTCCAAAGCATATAATTTTATACAATACTTTACTCAAACTGTGGCAATATAGAAAGTACAAAACATTATGTGAAACTATTTGAGCTTTAACAGGCAATTCATAATTAGACTTAACAGCAGTTCATCCATATTTCTACTAGTTTCCTAAAAACATCATGTGCATGTAAACCAATGCGGCACATTTATTAACATGTTTGAAATGCAGATGTGTGTTGTGTTAGTCGGGTAAAGAGGTTTATTGTATTACTTAATAGAGTTATCAACCTGTAAATACACCTTAGCCTTTACTTGGAATATAAATAAAGTATGCTACCGTGCTTCAATTACTTAAATGTGGTGATCAGGACAGACTGCTGCTGCCATCCACTGGTGGGTTACTAAAATAGTTGACTATGATCCATGCACATTGGCTTTTGATTTCCATTTTTATTTTCATCCTGACACACCACATTTAAACACTATTTTAGCACTGTATTTCCAATAAACGCAGAGATACAGTTGCAAGAAAAAGTATGTGAACCCTTTGGAATGATATGGATTTTTGCACAAAATGGTCATAAAATGTGATCTGATCATCTTCTAAGTCACAACAATAGACAATCACAGTCTGCTTAAACTAATAACACACAAAGAATGAAATGTTGCCATGTTTTTATTGAACACAACATGTAAACATTCACAGTGCAGGTGGAAAAAGTATATGAAACCCTAGACTAATGACATCTCCAAGAGCTAATTGGAGTGACATGTCAGCCAACCGGAGTCCAATCAGTGAGATGAGATTGGAGGTGTTGGTTACAGCTGCCCTGCCCTATAAAAAAAAAAACACACACCAGTTCTGGGTTTGCTTTTCACAAGAAACATTGCCTGATGTGAATGATACCTCACACAAAAGAGCTCTCAGAAGACCTACGATTAAGAATTGTTGACTTGCATAAAGCTGGAAAGGGTTATAACAGTATCTCCAAAAGCCTTGCTGTTCATCAGTCCACGGTAAGACAAACTGTCTATAAATGGAGAAAGTTCAGCACTGCTGCTACTCTACCTAGGAGTGGCCATCCTGTAAAAGATGACTGCAAGAGCACAGCGCAGACTGCTCAGTGAGGTGAAGAAGAATCCTAGAGTGTCAGCTAAAGACTTACAAAAGTCACTGGCAAATGCTAACATCCCTGTTAGCGAATCTACAACATGTAAAACACTAAACAAGAATGGATTTCATGGGAGGACACTAAGGGGAAGCCACTGCTGTACAAACAAAACATTGCTGCACGTTTACAGTTTGCACAAGAGCACCTGGATGTTCCACAGCAGTATTGGCAAAATATTCTGTGGACAGATTAAACCAAAGTTGAGTTGTTTGGAAGAAAAACACAACACTGTGTGGCGAAAAAAAGGCACAGCACACCAACATCAAAACCTCATCCCAACTGTGAAGTATGGTGGTCGGGGCATCATGGTTTGGGGCTGCTTTGCTGCGTCAGGGCCTGGACGGATTGCTATCATCGAAGGAAAAATTAATTCCCAAATTCATCAAGACATTTTGCAGGAGAACTTAAGGCCATCTGTCTACCAGCTGAATATGGGCGTTGCAACAGGACAATGACCCAAAGCATAGAAGCAAATCAACAACAGAAAGGCTTAAACAGAAGAAAATACGCCTTCTGAAGTGGCCCAGTCAGAGTCCTGACCTCAACCCGATTGAGATGCTGTGGCATGACCTCAAGAAAGCGATTCACACCAGACATCCCAGGAATATTGCTGAACTGAAACAGTTCTGTAAAGAGGAATGGTCTAGAATTACTCCTGACCGTTGTGCACGTCTGACCTGCAACTACAGGAAACGTTTGGTTGAAGTTATTGCTGCCAAAGGAGGTTCAACCAGTTATTAAATCCAAGGGTTCAAATACTTTTTCCACCTGCACTGTGAATGTTTACATGGTGTGTTCAATAAAAACATGGCAACATTTCATTCTTTGTGTGATATTAGTTTAAGCAGACTGTGATTGTCTATTGTTGTGACTTAGATGATGATCAGATCACATTTTATGACCAATTTGTGCCGAAATCCATATCATTCCAAAGGGTTCACATACTTTTTCTTGCAACTGTATCTCTGCGTTTATTGGAAATACAGTGCTAAAATAGTGTTTAAATGTGGTGTGTCAGGATGAAAATTAAAAATGGAAATCAAAAGCCAATGTGCATGTATCATAGTCAACTGCTATTTTAATAACCCACCAGTAGAAGATGATGATGATGATGATATCACATTTTATGACCAATTTGTGCAGAAATCCATACCATTCCAAAGGGTTCACATACTTTTTCTTGCAACTGTATATCGGGGGCAACACATCATGGTAGTAACACCCCATGTATTTACAGGCTGATCTCGTTTCTCTGTTAAGCAACACTTGGAAGCTCCTGTTCTTAAAAAACTATTTATTTCTAGTCCTGAATTTTATTTACTGAATATTTGTCAGTTATGTAGTTGTAGGTTTTAATAAAGTTGGTTATGCTTTGTGATGATTTTTTGGGGGCTATTCAGCATGTGCATGTTATCAATGACTGCTATCTTTATTTATTGAGCTTTAATATTTTTAATATTTTGCCTAAAAATTGGCCAGACTCATACATACATCGCATATAATTAACCTCAAATATACTTTTTTTTTGTTGCGCTTATAGGAAACATTACAGATAACTCACAATCAGAACACAGATGGGCAGATTTATTTATGACTTGCCTGACACATTTATACATTTCAATATTACAAACCAGGGACAGACAACTGTATCACACATCTCTCAACAAACAAAACGTGAAATAGACATTGCACACCTTGTCTTAATTGAAAGACATATAACATACTATCAACAGACAGACAATTGGAACTCAGCCTCTTATCTTATTCCTGTTAAGAGAAAAATATTTAAACATGTGCGTGATTCAGTCATTTCAAACTGTTAAATAAAAATAAAAAAATACATATATATATATACACATAAAAAAACTCAAAAATATGATTGTGACATTCATTATGGCTGATTGATAGTTACATATTTGACAGCGTCAAAATAATCACAAACTGAACACTTACAAACATAAGATTTCGCATCGAAAAATAAATATAGTCTAAAAACATAGAGAAAAGTAGAGACCGGCAAATTTGCGTAGAATACAAAGGCCACTGATTGGCATTCAGAATATAATTTAAAAAAACTGCTTTTGTGTGATTAAGTCTTAACAGAAGTAAAATAATATTGTCTCACATATTACCAGTTTCAGGAATACAAGTAAAAGTTGCGATGTATGAAAGACAGATGGGTTTTTTTATTTCATGTAATTTATGGGGAAATATAATTATGAACTTTTTGAGCTAGGAAGCAAAAAAAACAAGTTGAGTAGAGGACTACACACATTGAAAGACTGAAGAAAAATACCCTCCCTTTTATGAATTAACTGTAGCACATAGATTGATTCCTTTATTCATCCCATGTTATAATTCAACATGTAGCTAAAAAGCAATCACTTGTAGACAGGAATAGACTAAAACAGATTTTAAAATTAGAGTACTATATTTGGAGTACCACGATTGATTGACACATACAAAACAAAGATCTGGTTTACATTTTCATGTAAATGATAGTGAAGGCAGTTTCCTTGCTAGGACTGCAGCAGCAATCACCAGGTATTCCCTGCTTATTGGAATTAGTTTTTCCAAACCTCTATGAACAAATAGCCATTTGATTTAGTTTTTATAATACATGCATTAAATAATAATAAAAACATAATGGAAAAGTGAATAGCTGAAATTCAGAAACTAGTGTATTGGACGAGAGCCATTAACTTTCAACTTGTGATGTTTGCATTTTTTATTTTGTGTTGAAATTTCACTGAATAAAAAAAAAAAAAAAAAATACAGATTAATGAATTTGCTTTATCTCCCTACGACTCGTGTTGACCAATGGTGTCATCAAAATATTTTATTCAAACCATGAAACAACTGCCTGCAACAGCTCTCTTTGCAGGTTTACCCTACATCCTAATCAGGGAAGAACAAACACCACAGGGGACATTTAGAATAGTATCACCAACAGTTTTACATGTAATATTTGCCAAATCTTTTGTGCAGTTCATTAAATCTGTCAGATTTCCCTCTCTCTTGCGCCCACCCCCTCCACCCTCCTTCCCTTTAGCAGCCTCACTGTGTCCTTAAGCATTTTGTTTGAGGACATAACAGATCTATCAACTTTTCCATCAGTGTTTCACAATAATTTTTTAAACATGGTTATAAATATCACCCATTGTGGTGGTAGTTCCTCTGCAACATCATTACATAAAGTTGGTATGATCCATCTAAAGGTCTTCTATAGAGGGAGTGTTTCTGATTTTTAACACTCGTATTGACAATATCAAGTGTTTTGTAATCAAGTAAACAGGGCAAAAAAGATGTAATCTGCAGGACAATTGTGTTAAAAGTAAAGAAAAGACAGAAACCATTATATTTAATTGGTCACGGAGCATTTAAAGGAAATCATAGCATGATGAAAGCCCATATGTGCCATAATAATAATGTTAATAAAGGCCAGGTTTACAACTGGGCATAATGTGGATTGCAATAAAATTCATCAGAGTAAGATCTGCACTCCTATATTTTGCCCTGAAATTAAGTGAGGTATATTGTATAAATCAGCCATCAAGCCATGTTAAACCGGTAAAATAATTTACAAGAATCCCAGCAGTTGCCTTTATATAGTGTCAATGTCTTTTGTAGAAAGGAAAAAATGAAAAATAAAGTGCATAAATGGCATGGCATGGAATGGATCAAATACACACAGACTTAAGCCCCATCTGTAAATTGTTAGGAATTCAACGGGAATTGGAAATTGTACTCTAGACAGAAATATAAGGGGCATAATGAGACGAAAATGCAAAGTGGTTGGTCAAAAAAACAGCTAAGAATTCCTCAGTACTCAAAACTCATACCCTCAGCCTGGAACACTACGTTGGGGGTGGGGGAAAGTGACTGGACCTACTGATTGCTGTCTTCCATACACCGCAAATAACTGAAGATGGTGTCAATCACGAGAAGATACGAAATTCAATTTTCAGCTGCAAATATACACATTTCAGATGCCATTAGGCATTTCATTGAAAGATGCTTATAAAAGAACAGAGCTATGTATGTGAATCTTCTATACGAAGTTGGATGGAAAGATAAGGTTGAATTCTGCAGATGGCAATCAAACTGCCCCAGACACTGGCACAAATGCATCACAACCATTGGTGTCGGTCGATCCCCTGGGGAAGGATATACAATAGCATATAAATTCAGCGGATATAGACAAAAGTACTACTTTGCTCTTGCATATTATGTTTACAACTATGGTATGTATTCTATGTATATTTTGAAAGAATTAAATCCTTAGGAACCAAGATAGAAGAAGAAAAAAAAAAAATGTAGCCTCTTATTAAAAATATTTTTTTTCTCCATTCACCTTTTTATGATAGCCACTAATGAGCCAATAATTGAAAGTATCCATGATTTGTCTAAAAGTAGCTTGAATTTTTTTTTTCTTCTTTTTTTAAATTCTCCTTCTATAATTCTAACCTATCTTGCAATACAAATTAGATATGCTACGATCCACCTTGTCCATTTTCCAACCGAGGCCCAATCATAAGACAGCTCCAAGTTCATTTTTCTTCACCCACATATTGTTAAAGAAGAACATTTTTCTACAGCGTTTTCAATTTAAAAATGATTTATTTAGTATAAAAATAAAAAATAAAAATAAAAACATGCCGTTGTGGCCTCTGTTTACTTTAATATTTTGTTCTGATGAATGGGTTTAATAAAGAATTTAAATTGTATGCCAACTTTGAGTGTTGGGGCTGCATTACTATTTGCAGGTAAACACTACCTGGCTATCTCTTTGATTCTATCCTTTAAATATGCCCTGCACATTCTTAAATTTCTTTATTGGATTTGCATTATTTCCTTATATTTATATACTGGGCATGTTATACCTGGTATTCTTTAACATTTTTGAAATATATAAATATATATAAAATATAATATAAAATGTTATCAGTCAAATAATGGTACCTATATAAAAATAGGCTAAGTTTTTGGTCCTTTTTTGTTGTTTTTTTATTAGCCTTGTGTTTTCTAACTTTCTAGGTCACAACTCTACATGGGAAACAAATATATATTATCTTGCCATTAAAAAGTACAAAGAGATAAATACTGGTGGGGAAAAAACCTCAAGTTTAAATCAAGATGTGACAGGAAAGAAGAGTACTCACATGCAAGCTTTCTCGAGGGAACGCTGTTAGGTAAAGATAATACAGATGTGGATCAGTTTAAATAATAAAACAGTGCAAAAAGGGGGGAAATATTAACCCAAAGATGATTCAAAGATGTTCGGACTCAGTGCCTTTTAAGGTACCCAGAGAAAAAGGGAAAGAGCAGCATGCAACTGGTGGGTCTTAAAAAAGTGCAGTTCAACTTCAGAATGAAAAAAAAAAAACACTATTATATATAAAACAATTAACTAATTCCAAAAATTAATGGTGGATACATCTGCAAAATTAGAATTGTCTCATAAGCCAGGGCCAAACATCACTTTATAAAGAAGACAATTAAAATAAATAAATAAAGTTATTGGTACTACTGAAAAAACCCAAAAACTAGTATCTGGATTCAAAAAGATTCCGGATGACCAACTCACAAAACGTGTATAATATACATATATATTATACATATTGGATCAGATTTATTTTTTTGTATGCAACCATAATAAAAAAAAAAAAATCACTTTGAAACAAAGACCTGTGAGTGCACCTTCAAGTTTTTGAAAGAAAAAATATAATATTATATATATATATATATATATATATATATATATATATAAAAATTAAATTGCGTATATAGGAGTAAATAAAGTGAACACAGAAACAAGAGAAGGAACGTGAAGGGGAGTGTAAGAAGGACGGAAAAGAGAAAGGTGAGTGATTAATTAGATGGTAATGGCAGATGTAGATCGCATGCAATGAAAAGACACTGACTTGTCTCAGAGGGCGGTCAGACCCATCTGGGGCCATTCGGAACCTCTCTAGTCCCATTGGATCAATTGGTCTGCTCCCAACACTGTAATTTCTTGGGCGTCTGATTGTGTCAGAGCTGGATAGAGGTGTGAAGCTGTTTCTTCTCATTCGCATAGGAGTTTGGCTTTGATCAAAAACACCCTAATAGGTTTGAAAACAGATGCACAGATGAAAAAATACAATTTTCAAGGAGCAAAAGGTATTGACTTTTGGTCAGTGGGTGGTCCTCAGAAAACCTATTATCTACTCCAGGGTTGTCGATAGACAACAATTTAACTGCAGAATGAATACATTACAACCGCATACTCTGTAACAAATTTAAGAAAGAGAGAGAGAGGAATGGACGGACAGTTTTCAAATAGCCCCATTAGTTCAATGATACAGATTCAATAAACAGAGGGGTTTTTTTTTTTAATAGCTAATGAGATTTTCTTATAGGATCGACAGTATAAGTTTCTTATACCCAATGTACATTTCTTTTTTACAGAATATTGCTTTATTAAATAAATGTAGCTTTAATTTAATTTGTTAAACATAAATAAATTGCTGTTCTAAAGTGTAATATATGGCACAAAATATCTTATATACAAATAAGTAACAGATCTTTATATAAAAGCAGAACAAAAAAACAACAAAAATTATGTTTAAAACAAAAGCATTTGTAGATTTCACTTGTATGTGTTGTTGTTGTAGTGATGTCAAACTCCAAGTCATGAAAGCCTACAACAAAGACCATGTAAATATTGCATTTGCGAGGCCACTGACCACATAGAATAGCAATCCAAAAAAAAAAATGTTTAGGCATCATTTTGGCTTTATGTTTGTTAAATAAATCATTACTCTGTGTAATATGTCATTTATTGTTGTTCATCTGATGTTGTATTTATCTGGTTTAAAGACCTGCTAAGTAACAGATTATTGTTATGTCCTGATATGTAAACATAGAATTTAATAGGGTGTACTTTCTTCTTCCCGTGACTGTATACACACACACTGTGTATGTGTTACGTGTTAAAAGTTATGGAGTAAACATGAATCACTAGAAGAAAAACAACTTGCAAAACATGTAGACCGTGTAAAATTTAAGATTTTCCACATATTAAACTGAAAAAACAAAAAGTCTAAATCATGAAAAAAAAAAAGAAAAAGAAAATTACTTACCGCGGGCTTCTCTCTGTGAGTTTCCACAGCATCTACACCAAGTTTTACCAATTCCACCTTACAGCCTTAATGATAAGAAACAGAGGACAAAGTTAGTCATGTGCCAACATTCTGGAGGAAATAAGTGTAGTTTTATGCCTGGGCAATAGAACTTGGCAAATGTACTCAAAAATCCATGACTCAAAATTGGTCAAAATACCAGGCTGAGTGAACCCCAAAATAAATTGAGCAGGGGAACCTACATTGTTCCAATGAAAACCAGGAGGCCTATTAATGGAAAAGTGAACTCTGCTATTTAATCAGTGTTCAGTCAAGTTACCACAGGACACATCTAAAAGTACAAAAATCTCAACGCACACACATATTTTAATACACCGTAATTACTAGAAATCTGCATTAGTGCAGATATTGGAAAAGAAAAAGGAGATCTTTTTTTCTGGGGTTATTGCGAGTAATGTACACCAGTGCCTTATTTAAAGCGAAGATAAAGCATTAAAACAGAATTTGGTTTCCTCTGATGTATAATTTGATGTACTAAATATCAATCGTTCAGTAATTTGCACTGTATATGATGTATTTCTTTATATTAAACATTGTATACAGAGCAACCAAGACTTTGTTCTTTTGCTTTCCACTATGACTTCAGAAGATATACTGGCAACAAAAGGTGGAAAATTATAATACACATATTTAATACCTAAGCCTTGATTTAATACGTTTCACATGATTTAAAAATTTTGGATAAACTTTTAAAAATGGTTTTATATTATGAAAAATATTAAAATTTTGTGATCTTTTGAAATTTGTTATGTATGTATGTATAGAAAACTGGAAAAGTGTATCCAAAAATTAAATCTAGATGGGAAAAGAGAGAGCATGTGCATATTGTAAAAGACTTAACACATATATGGTTGATGGCGAGAGAGAATACATACATTGATAAAAGGACAGATTAGATTGATTAAAAAAATAAAAATGCAGATATGAGAAGCAGATATGGACCTCAGTTTTCAAATAGGTGGTTTGCTTGTTTATAAGAAATAACAGTATGTGCAGTACGTCAGCCGTTTACAGAGTAAAGAAAAAGGGGGACATACAGATATAAAAAAAGAAAAGAAAAAAAAATTACAAAAACATTGCATTTCTCTATATTAACCCCTTAAGGACACATGACATGTGTGACATGTCACGATTCCCTTTTATTCCAGAAGTTTGGTCCTTAAAGGACCACTCTAGGCACCCAGACCACTTCAGCTTAATGAAGTGGTCTGGGTGCCTGGTCCAGCTAGGGTTAAACCATTTTTTCATAAACATAGCAGAGAAACTGCTATGTTTATGAATGGGTTAAGCCTTCCCCTATTTCCTCTAGCGGCTGTCTCATTGACAGCCGCTAGAGGCGCTTGCGTGCTTCTCACTGTGATTTTCACAGTGACGGCACGCCAGCGTCCATAGGAAAGCATTATGAATGCTTTCCTATGTGACCGCTGAATGCGCGCGCAGCTCTTGCGGCGCTTGCCGCTGCGCATTCAGCCGACGGGAGGAGAGAAGGAGGAGAGCTCCCCGCCCAGCGCTGAAAAGGTAAGTTTTAACCCCTTTCCCCCTTCCAGAGCCGGGCGGGAGGGGGACCCTGAGGGCACTATAGTGCCAGGAAAACGAGTATGTTTTCCTGGCACTATAGTGGTCCTTTAAGGGGTTAAAGTGAGACTATATTAAAAGTTTGCTTAATTATGACTATATTACAATAAATGAAAGTTTTATAAAATATGCAATATAAATATCAAAATTTACGTAGAATGAATTTATATAAAATTATAATATTTACGTAACATTTCACAGATGTTACGGATGTTATTTTCACTTTCTATGCTTCACCTGGTAAATAACAATTTTAACCCATCCACTGGATGCCTCGGATATCAAATGTGGGATCTTCAGGAATCAGAAAAAGATGATTTGAAGTGGTCATGGTGCCCAAGTCAGAAGGTGCAGCATTGCGTTATGAATCACTATAAGTATACAGAGATTTACCCCTATGCTGCTGGAGGTGTAAGAGCTCCAGGCTGGCTAATATGAATCCTGTGCAAATTTAGTGTTTGACACCATGCTGGTCCAGAAAGCCAATAGTTGCATGGAAAGGTGGGGGAGAGTATATGTCCTCCCCTCAGCCCTCCCCCTGTGTTGAGGGGGAGTGCATCATCAAAGGACGATCAGGCTGTAGTAAAAACTTGGCAGTGACACTGAAACGGAGTTAAGTTTTAGCTTTATTTTTTTTTTTATTTTTTTTTTTTAGGTAGGGGCGGATCAGGCTAGGAAGGGTTACTCTAACCAATTAGTTTTTTCAAAACATTTGTGTTAGGTCGGAGTAATCCTTTAAAGAAAAGTGCATTTGAACAATTCCAGGGTTGCAGTAGATTAGCTTGACAAAGCACACACAATAAACTCTATTAATCTAAATGCACAAGACAGCAGTTACATGTGATGCTTTCAAAGAAGGGTCAAAAAGCTGCTCTTTGACTAAATGGCCCTAACAAGCAAAAATTGCTCATTTAAACATTAACTAGTTTGTATGAAGGGTTCTATTGCTCTGTCAACTGATCTAAACTTGGCAGACTATTGAAGAAGCATACCTTTTAGATGAAACATGGCTACATTAATAACAGTTATATACATTCATACACACACACTTTGCTTAAATTCATATTACAAATATCGAATTACATTATAATTCAGTTCAGTCAAGACATGACAAGGGCTAGCATTGAAAATTATGAATACACTACTTAATTTCTCCTTTTATCAGAGCTTATAACAATGATTGACAGGGAGCCAAGATGGAGTTGCCCAGTTGCAGGATAAAAACAAGTGTATTGCAACAATTAATTTTATCTTAATAACTCAAATATATATAGTTATTAAATGTTGGGATAAGTAAATATAATATTAAAAATCCAGGAACATTAAAGTTCCCTTTAAAAGGCGTTCTCTCTCATTATGCCGGGATTCATTATCTAAAAACACCCTGCACTTCTATATCAGTGAGGGTAAAACATCTCTCAGTTGTACATTTCTTCAGTATATTGGAATTTGAGGGCATCACATATACAATCAACTATTTTATGAAATAAGATACTAAAAAAATAAAACTATTTGAAGATTTCTGTGAAAATGTCAAGTATAACTGCTGATAAGTTCACATTTTAATTTGCAATCTACTTTGCAGGCACAAACTAGAATAACTCTAAAAATAAGAAATAATAATAACTACATTTTGGAATAATCAGACCAAAGCTCAACTTTTCCTTAAATGAATGAGAAAACAAATTTGCCTTGTTATTGACAATGGCATGTGATCAATGTTCATAAGTCCTATTCCATGTGGTTCAGTGAACTGGTTATAAAAAAAAAAACAAAAAAAAAACAAAAAAAAAACACCCAGATAAAAGGACCCCGATAGGCACCCAGACCACTTCAGCTCAATGAAGTGGTCTGGGTGCCACGTCCCTCTAGTTTTAACCTTGCAGGGTTAATCCAGCCACTAGAGGCCGCTTCTGCGATTCTCACTGTGAAAATCACAGTGAGAAGACGCTGGCGACAATAGGAAAGCATGGAGTAATGCTTTCCTATGGGCGGTTTTAATGCGCACGCAGCTCTGGCCGCGCATGTACATTCGACTCCACTCGGGAGCCAACGTCAGAGGGGGAAGAAAGGTCACTAGCGCTGGATTAAAGTAAGTGGTTGAAGGGGTTTTAACCCCTTCAGCCCAGTGTGAGGGGGGCCATCAAGGTGGGGGGGGCCTAAGGACTACATAGTGCCAGGAAAACGAGTTTGTTTTCCTGGCACTCTAGTGATCCTTTAAGTGATATGGCTAAAGAACAGGTCTATAATTTAAACCCTACTGTTTTTGTTGCAATGAGGAGGGCATGAAGAACCAAATCAAGCTACTCCACAGCAGTGAAAAGCAAAGCAGTACAGTGGAAACACGGTTGATGCGCAAGGTACTTAACAGTCACATACCTTTCTAATCAAAGTCTCGATTCAATATTTTTGGATACGTTTTTGAAATTATTTCTTCAAAATATTAAAATATTATATATATATATATATATATATATATATATATATTTATTTATTTCAATATTAAATAATTTTAAATTATCCAATATATTAAAGTACGGTCTAAATCCCTAAGATAATAGATCACATTTACATTAACATCAAATTGTCGCACTGCATGGGTTTTGCATGCATAGGTCTCTAACCTTTTCACGCATATTTTAGCTAAATTGAACACTTACCATAAGCTACAGGCGTTAGTTTCAGTACTGTATGAAGTGGGCATCGAAGGTATGGCAAGTCATCTAAATTCAGTACAAAAACAAAAAGAAAAAAATGAATAAAAAAACTTTATGAACTAACAAAATACAAGTAATGTATTAGTAACTTAGTAACAAGTGAGCTGACAAAGTAGTTGGGTCTGATGATTTTTCAATCTTACATGAACATCTGCTGAAAATGTTGATTCAAAAAACAACCCATATACATTTACATTTTTATTTTTAACTACACCTAGTTGGATGTGAAAATTTATCACAATGCTAATCATAAATATTGTGGTTAACCCCAAGAGTTAACCAGTTTTCTAAAAAAAAAATAAAAAAAAAAAAAATGTATCCTATCAGTTTTTAAAAAGACATCGATTATATTTGAAAGATCTTTTCAAATAAAGGGCACATCTTTATTGCCTATCCTCAAATGTGTCTTATATCCCTTGTACAATTTTGCAAATAGCAAACCTTTCTTCTGGTCTTAAATCTCCCATACACTTCATTAGCTTTGTAATATAGTTTTGCATATTAAAGGACCACTATAGTGCATACTCGTTTTCCTGGCACTATAGTACCCTGAGGGTGCCCCCACCCACAGGGTCCCCCTCCCGCCGGGATCTGGGGTGAGGAAGGGGTTAAACTTACCCCTTTCTCCAGCGCCGGGCGGGGAGCTCTCCTCCTCCTCTTCGGCTGAATGCACATGCGCGGCAGGAGCTGCGCGCGCATTCAGTCAGTCCATAGGAAAGCATTCACAATGCTTTCCTATGGACGCTGGCGTCTTCTCACTGTGATTTTCACAGTGAGAAGCACGCAAGCGCCTCTAGCGGCTCTCAAGAGACAGCCACTGAGGCTGGATTAACCCATTTATAAACATAGCAGTTTCTCTGAAACTGCTATGTTTATAGAAAAAAGGGTTAACCCTAGCTGGACCTGGCACCCAGATCACTTCATTAAGCTGAAGTGGTCTGGGTGCCTATAGTGGACTTTTAATGAAAACATTTTTTTAATTGTCAGGAATTTAGAATAAACTGAAACATAACTAAATTGGAGAATGTTTGTAGTTCGACTATTGACTTAAAGGACCACTAGAAGCACCCACACTACTTCATCTTAATGAAATGATCTGCGTGCAGTGGGCTTTTATCCTGACAACGTTGAACGTCATCAAATTCTGTTTAAAGGGAAGCATTGGATTAATTCTTCCTCTTCAATTAGCTTTGAAAACTAAGAATCTTATCCTTCTGGATGATGTTGCAGGAGGCGATCAGAGTGTATGCACAGAGTGAGTTTTGGCTCTAGAAAGAAAGTCAAGTTAAATCCTTTTTTTGACATGACTTGGAGGAGGCTGAATCTCAACAGTGAGGGGAACACTATAGCGTTCCTTTAAAATGAGAAATTCACTTTGAATCCCTGACAATTCACAATAAATAACTCTGTCCTCTTAAGAACTGGTGTTTTGCACATTTTGCACATCTAGGGTGTAGTATCTCTGGATTCTTACATGATGAATCAATATTCTACTCGAGTGGTAAAAGTATGCAAGGTTATTTACTGAATTATCACCTCGGAACTTTACTTTTTAGGTCAAAATAACAGAGCTGAAGAATTTTTAGTCACCTGGCTAATTTGGCCTAAAAGTTGAAATTTACTGGTCAATTCCTGACAAATCAAGGTTTAAAGCAGTGGTTTACAAACCAGTGGCAAAGGCACAAGGCTGAGCAATAGCCATGATTTTATCACTCACTAGAACAAAATTAGGAAAATTACTAAATCCTTGACTGTTGGAAAGTCTTAAGGGCTACCATGGGCCCTATTGGTTTAGTGAATATCACTGGATAGGTTTCACCTGCATTTCAGTAACAAACAATTCCACAGCACATTAATTTGATCACTGGCAGGCCAATTAATTTTTGTTACCTGCACTTTTGTCCAAGAAATATGCCAGAAGACATCTCATGACAGCCTGGTGACAAACGACCAAGATATTCCCCTGACGCTCCAGCTCCATGATGACTGGCTCCAGCCGTTGAACTAGATCCTGGTAGGACTAAAGGTGACAAACCTGAATGAGTAAACAAGAGCAGTAGCCATCTGACAATGTCTCAGAATATAGATGATTTCTTAGAAAATTAGAATCACAATTGTATTTTATGGTTTAAAGGGGCAGTAACTCCCAGCAAATTGCAGATATTCAAACTTAAAAATTACCTCTCCACCAGGGTAGCGATATAGATATTTATCCTGGTCCCTCATTGCAAACTCCTCTGGGTACTTTTCTTCAATCTCTTTATAGGTCATCTCTTCGCATACACCCTACATGAAGAGGTGCAGTACATCAGACACATGAACACCGTTACAAAGCTGGACTTTTTTTGGACCTTTCATGATTATCGCTACAACAGAGAGAAAGCACTATCTCTGTCTGCACCTGAAACTTAAATTTCCCTTTTGTGATGCACCCACACCAAATTTAAAAATAAGCATTTCCCAATTGGCTGTCAATGCCCATGGGGTATATAAAATAAAGAAACATAATTTTAAAATAAAGAAACAGTTTTTAAACATGTTTGCCCAATCAAATCAATTAATTACATTATTAAGTTCTTCGTGATTACCTTCCTACCAACCTGGGAAGTTTTCGGCACACCACAACGGACTTGCTCTTACTGGTGTAGCTCAAACATTATTGTATGCAGTCACCGACAAATAGCTTATGGAAAGTGTTCAGTTTAGCTAGAATATACTTAAAGGGGGTACAGACCTATGCAAAACCCATGGAGTGTGACTATTTGATCTAATGCAATTAAAAAACAAACAAAAATAAAATAATTTTATATATATACATACACATACACACATATATATATATATATATATATATATATATACACACACACACACACACACATATATACACTAATATTGTACAATTATCAAACAGTGGGATACAGAGAAAAACAGACATTGGAGTAGGATTTCTTTTTAATCTTGTGTAATTAGTTTAATTAATTGGCAAATATACTGGAAATAAACAGATATGGCGATTCAGTATTCAGGCACAAAGAACATTATTATCTGGACACACACAAACACAACACACCTAGATTGTGCCACTCGACTAATGCTATACTTACAGCATCAATCTCATTTAGAATTTTCCATTGTTCATAGTCCACGCCCAAAGCCTCTGCTGTTTGGATTGTTCTCTTCAGCTGACTGGTCCAAACCTTGAGATCCCCAATGTCCTGTTCCTCAATAAACTTTCTGAGAGCCTTGGCAAACTGAACAATTGAATAAAAATATGAGTAGATTAGAGCAATTCAACTACTGATTACTGTGGTTGGTATCTCAAAGGCTCAGGGTAAAAATCAAAAGCACTTAGTGCACCCTGAGCACACATGATAGCGATTTATAAAAAGATAGTCCACTAAGCTGTTATAGCAGTTTTGTCTGCAGGTAGCATGCCCATGATTCACATGCCTTGAGGCTAAACCACAACCTGGTTCACTCAAATTGGGGTGGAAAAAAGTGATTTTAAAAAAAAAGTCACACTAATTCCACAATCTTAAAAATAAGTTTTAAGAGTTTTACTATATAAATGTGACAGTATATTTTAATGCATTATATAAATAAAGTAGTAAGGTATAACTAAAAATAAAAATAATTTTTTTTTTTTTTTTTTTAAATAAAAAATATTCCAGTTTCTATATAAATCTTTTTTTTAAATTACCGGACAGCAGGGAAAATGAAACTTAAGTTGTCTCTATGTGTTTGCAAGGACGGTTTGATAAATTCACAATAATTAGCTTTCTAAATAACTATGTAACACCTGACTAGTAGCCAAATCAAAACAATCAAACAGAACCTGAAATAAACAAACATACCAGTTTGTACTTGTACAAAAGTTAATATAGATAACTCAAACAAAACCTTAATTGAAAATGGCTCCCAAGAAAATTTTGCAAGACAAAAAACAATATGACATATCAGACACCATTGCTTATAGAATTATTCACACTATCTATGCAAAATAAAAAATAAATAAAAAGTCCATGTGTCTTCTGCATGGTACTACAGCGAACAAAATAAGAATCCAGAATTTTGATTTAAAGGGAATCAAAAATGTTGTTTACGGAGATATCTGTGTAAATATTGGTACTAAATAAGTGCTGACATAATGCATTATAGCATGCAGATATTCACTATGGAAATGCAAAATATGTAGACAGGGACAAAGAGTGACCATACACAGGCAAATAACAGAAACACACACTTCTTTCACACTCTCAAAAACAATAAGAGACATATGTATGAGAAGATGAATGATTATGTTGCTTGAAGGGACTTACTTGTTTTCCCCTTGGAGAGAGTCCCGAATCTCCTCCAATCCTTCCTGCAAGGTTACATTCACTTTCACCATGTCGGCACAGGTAGATAGTTCTCGGTTGGACATGAATGTTCATGAGGTAGTACACAATTTTACTTTGAATATAATCCTGCACTCTATTGACAAGGAACCTCTGGCCCACGTTAATAACTTTAATTAGCGAATGATCCCTGTAAGAGCCCAGAGTAATGAATGTGATCAGTGCAGGTAGATTTCTTTTTGTTTTGTTTTTAATAAAGTTTTTATTGAGAGTAAAATAGGACTATGTACAACTACAACTGGTTTTTTTTTGCCTTCTTTTGTAATAACAGCATAAAAGAACAGGCTTCTGACTTGAACTTGAGGGACGTTACATTTTTTTCAAACCTAGATTACTATTCAACTACATAACTGAAAGAATGAAATACCGGTCACCCAAAGAAAGGCTTTGTAATACAACAGAATTTTGCCTGGTCTATCCTTGGGTCTATTTCTTGGTTACTGCAAATGTTTATTTGTTTTAACAGAATACATTTTTTTCACCCAACATGGCGATCCCTCGCACCTTTTGGAATTTCTCTAATCTCAAAGCAGCATGGTCACCCCCTTTCCTGAAAACGTAGTATTTATGAAATACTCATTATGACTGTGTTGGAATTTCACTTGAAATTCAAACCCAGCCAAGAAATATTCAGAGACAAAGTAGAGTCTCTGTATTTCTTCCCTGCTTGACTTTCTTTGACACAATGTGGACAGTTGCAGAGTCAATCCCTGCAGCTGTCATAAGTGTGTTTATGGAGGATCCCAGGTTCTTGCGGGATTCCCCCGTAGACCCCAAAGCTGTACTCTGGCGCATGCAGCAGTGACAGAGCATTGGTGGTGGCATCTGCGAGGGACAGGTTCAGGTAAACAAACTCACGTTTACCTATCCCACCCTCACCGGCGATGTAGCAAAATTAAGCCCTGTGCTCAACCTCTTAGTACTTTTAGGTGGCAGCAATGACTATAGTATTCACCAGCCCAAACACATAGAAAAAAAAGTGGTTTCTGTATTACACAACCATGTTTGAGTACTGCCACCTACTCCATGGGTAACCGATTAAGGGTTAATAAATGAATAGGAGGTTATAAGAACCCCGTTCTGTTTCAGAGACTTTACTTTTACCTGAAAGCAGCAAAGTGAATTGTTAGTGTAGGACTCTCCTAAAAGATTTTCTCTTGACTTTGCAATTTAATGGCCATTAGAGTGACAATACAAACCTCCAATTATTTACATTTGTGACAGTGTACAGGTAACTTTTTTTTTTTGCTTTTCTCCTATCTATTTGAACTGGTGAATACTATAGCCATTGCTGCTACCCGAAAGTAGTGGTTGCAGCATTTAATTTCTTGTGTTTGGACATTCTGGCTGTGGTTAGAATTCTTGTTCTTACAGGGATCTCACAAAGTTGCTTTATAATATTCAACAATAACTCCTTGTTATCAAATGTCGTCAAACCTACAAATGGATTATGTGAAACATCTCAGTTTATAAGCACAGTTGTTTCCTTATGGCATGTTTACTGTTCTAAGAAGTTTCCTGCTTGCGTCATTTATTACCGTTTAGAGTGGTATTTTAGGAAAGGTACCTAAACTACGTATCTTAGTGACGCATCCTGCAACAATCATGTACTATATATCACAACTAATTCTGCAGAACAGACTCTTATTTTTCAGTCTCCATAGTGCTTAAGAAATGTGTGCAGTTACCGAGATTCCAATCAAAGGAAGATACTGTTTAAACCATTGTGGACCCACTGAAGTTGTAGCAGAACACGCTTTCGGATTTTGACACAGGTATTACATTTCATTGGACTAGTGAGAAATAACAAAACATGCGTGTAACATACTTGTCGTAAGAATCAGGATCCAGAGGCTCATAAGTAACTTTATAACACTCAATCCTCTTCAGGAAATCATCCATAACATTCTCCCTGTTTCTTTCAGGATAATCAGGGCTAGAAACTTTCACTTCCTGATAATAAAAAAAATTTAGAAAATTAAATACTAAACTTTGAATTAACAAATTAACCCCTTAAGGCCCAACGCAATTGTACAAGTTCTGCTGAAAACAAAACCTGAAATTTGGCTATATGTGTCTGTACAAAAAAAAATAAAAAAATCACTCTTTAGTAGACATAACTCCATCGAATACATGCATTAATTTCTCATTTTTTCATGCATATATTTCATTGGGGTATATCTTAAAATAAGCTTGAAAAGGCTGCATATCTTATAATTTGCAGCCTTAGAAAGCCCTCCCCTATTTTCCCAGAAGAGACTTTCAGTTTCTTCACAGGGAAATAACAGAGGCTTCTCATTGATAAGCCGCTGAGTTGGTGCTCACGTACGCTGGCTCTTCTATGCGTGTCTGATCGGAGGTCTGTGAGGGAGGGGAAGGGAGGCACGCTCAAGTAGGACAGACTGTTTGGTAGCCAGGGAGGTGTTCCCTAGTTAATTAATAAAATTGCTGATTTCTCATAGAAATCAGCACTTTTATAAACTGGGGTTAAACTATGATACTCCATACCCATAAATCACTTCAGCAAGCTGAAGTGCTTTTGGGATGTGGAGTGGTCCTTTAAGTACTTCCTAAGACTCCTCCCCACAAGGTAAAAGCTCCAAACCAATTCAGAAACCCCAGAAAATACATTTATTAAATAAAGAGGGACATATGTGAACAGACTTCAATCCCAAGGATTAGGAAATATACTGTAAGTATAATTAGCTTTTCCCCCCTCCAGATTAGAGGAAGTACACAATGGGGATAAAAGCAATCTCAAATGGGCGGGAAGACATTTTACCACAGCTTGAAGCACCTTGTGCCAAAAAAAAAAAAAAAAATCCAGAGACCTGCAGGTCTAACTTAGTATTTTGAGAAAGAGTGAATGGAGGACCAGGTACGATCAGGCCTAGCAAATTGAGCCGGAGTTGCGAATAAGCTGTGAGTTGCCATGAAATTTTCTTTTGACCCAAATAGAGAATAAACAGCCTGAAGTGTACTTAACAATGCAATCAATGCAATGGAATTTACTTTCCTTCCTGTTATAAGGATACTGACAGAATGTCGGAAGCACAATTTCCTAAATAATATTGTTTACTGAAGAAAACCTTTATTGAATCAAATGTATCCAGTGTAACAGTATCAACACAGACTGCTACCTGAAAAAACGTTACAAAGAATGGGTTTATAATGGCCAAAAAAACCCCCCAAAAAATAGATATCTCTGCAAAAACCTTCTATAAAAGGACTAGATAGAAATTCAACTTCAAGGTCGCGGACTACAAAAATTAGCAGAAAAGATGGCTTGATGCCAGACACCCAGACTTGGTTACAAAAAAAACTTGCCCCAGTAAAACCCTCCACCCAACAGCAGAGTTCACACCAATTATGTCCACAAAACTACTAGTCTAGAGTTCTTCGTATTCCCTCTATTCATTAAAATTTACCAATAATAGTGGCGTTAATTCATTGAGCTTTCTATTGCCTTCTATCATAGCCACAAGAGTTTTACTGCAGCCGATATACCAATCCATTCTTTGCAACATTTTTCAGGTAATGGGTTAATGTTATATGTCTTTTCTCTAAATATTAAATAAAATGTATCTAATTGTATATATTTCTAGTTCTATATTAGTTCTATATTTCTCAAGGAACCTTTTTGTGTCGGTTGGATTTTATATCCTGAGGACATTTATGTATTTTTCTGATTGTTACAATTAAGGGTTACCCCCTATTCAGGTTCACTTGTACACACCAATAGGCCCTTCCTGGGACACTTTGTTTCTTCTAAGAAAATGTAGCCTTGGCTAAACCCATGTGGAGTGTGACATTGTCAGGATTAGGTGATCCCTAAACAGAGAATTTAGGGAAACACTAACAAAAACCAAGTAAAAGGCAGAGGTAGATATGTGTACCGAAGCTTAGAGTGGTCAGGCCAGCATGTGCCGTAGATCGGCTAAAATGCACAGTCAAAAGAAAGCCACGGTCAAGGACGCCATAGACACTTGAAATATGAATAAACAAGCAGAGGTCAGGGAAACAGAAGATCAGAATAGTCAAAGCGAAGCCGGGTCAGTAACAGGAAAAACAACCACTCAGTACACACTCTTGGGTAAAATAAACCACGACAGGGCAATGATTCTCAGAAAGAGGGGAATTTATATAGGGATGGCCAGAATTCTATTGGACCGCCTCATCACTCAGCACCAATTCACACAAAGGGTGTGACTTGTGAAGAGCAGATTATGTGTCCCTCAATAATGACCGGTAACTATTTTAGTATAAAAACATCCAAACCTACAGGTTCCTGCAATTCCTAAGGATTCCTGTAGGTAGCGCTAGGCTGCCACAGTGATAAGGCAGCCTCGCGAGAGTGAGGAAGTGCCAGAAGCATCGTAAACGCTGGGCAGCCTCCATCTTGGAGGGGTACTGGCGAACAGCGTTCACTCTGGCTGGAGAGGCGGGGGACCAAAGACATGGTCTCTGCTGCACAGCTGCCCCTGGAAGCTGCATGTGCCGAGCGGCAGCTACAGTTATGACAGACATGCACACATATACACAAACACAATCATGGGAAATATAAAGTACACCCTCTTTAAATGCTATGATTTTACACATCAGGACATAATCATCTGTTCATTAGCAGGTGTTAAAATTATGTAAAGACAGGTTGTCAACAACAGATGAACAACAACAATACATGACATATTACACCATGTCTTGGTTCTTGTCTTTTTCAGCCATTCAGTTGTCGATTTGCTGGTAAGCTTGGGATCATTGTCCTGTTGCATTACCCAATTTTGGCCAAGCATGAGCAGTATGATATATGGCCTCACATTTGACTCTAGAATACTTTAGTTTACAGAGGAGTTCATAGTCAACTCAATGACTGCAAGGTTCCCATGTCCTCCCAAGTCCAAATCATCACCCCTCCACCACCGTGCTTGACAGTTGGTATGAAGGGTTTGTGCTGAGTTGTTCAGTTTTTGCTTAACGCGGTGCTGTGCATTAGGGCCAAACATATCCACTTTGCTCTCGTCTGTCCAAAGGGACATTGTTCCAGAATATTGTGGTTTGTTCAGATGCAACTTTGCAACCTAAGCCATGCTGCCATGTTCTTTTTAGAAAGAAGAGGCTTTCTCCTGGCAACCCTTTCAAACAATACCTACTTGTTCAGTCTTTTTCTAATTGTACTGTCATGAACTTTAAAGGATCACTATTGGGTCAGGAACACAAACATGTATTCCTGATCCTATAGTGTTTAACCCACCATTTAGGTGGCTCGCCCCTCCCTTAGCCCCCTATAAAAAAAAGTTAAAAACTCACCTTATACCCAGCGCCGTGCAGGTCCGCAGGTGCTGGCTCCGCCCCCTTTGTGACATCAAAATGCCAGATTTTTTGCCAATCCAATGCTTTCCCATAGAGAAAAGCATTGGATTGGCTAAAATCGGCACGGGGTGGGGCCAAATGCCATTTCCGCCAAGCAGGACCTCCTCATTGAATCAATGCATCTCTTTGAGAAACATTCAGCGTCTCCATGCAGAGCGTGGTGACGCTGAATGGCAGGGCTGCTTACTGTGCAGCCCTGAGCCTGGAAGCTTTTCCAGTGGCCATCTAAGGAGTGGCTTCTTGGAGGTGTCCCTAGGGGCAATGTAAACACTGCCTTTTCCCAGAAAAGGCAGTGTTTACATGAAAATGCCTGAAGGGAGCTATTATACTCACCAGAACCACTACATTAAGCTGTAGTTGTTCTGGTGACTATAGTGTCCCTTTAACATCTAACAGGTTAACGGATGCATGTATAAATAATAAAAAACTGTTTGATTTTGCAATTTCTCTGCACATTGCATCGTCTGATCTTGGGATGAATTTGCTGGAACATCACTCCTGGGAAGATTGGCAACTATTTTGAATGTTTTCCACTTTTTAATATTTCTTCTCACTGTAGAATGATGGACTTTAAATTGTTTGGAAATGGCCTTATAACCCTTCCCAGTCAGGCACTGTGTTAACACACACCTGAATGCTCCAGACCAGCAAACTTCTTTTTTTAGAGAAGTGGTCACACTTGCTGATGATCAATTAATCAAGGGCATTTGATTAGCAGCACCTGTCTGTTAGAAAAAAGAATACAAGGGGGGTGCACATAGAGCAATAAGAAAGTATATTATACTTAATATAAGTAGGACACCTCCTGTTAGACCTATAATAGAAAAACACATATATAGTGTAACACTGTTATATACAGAACATTAATTGGTCACAGGTATTGGGTCACTCACAGTGTGTAGAGCCACATAAAGCTGGCTCTAGCTTAGGTGGCAGGTGAATAATAAGCTTATTCTGGCTTTCAATTTTCAGCTTTCCAAGTAGCTCTGCTCCTTTTCTCCGCCCTTTAATAACTTCCAGGACATCCAATATCAATAATCAAAAGTGACTTTACTGGTTAAAATAAAGGATACAGAAAAAGCTAAAATGACATAACAAAATACACAGGGAATGAAAGAAAGACCGAAAATCCGGAAGTGACATCATGAACACGTGATCGGACGGAAGGTCACGTGATCGGACGGGAGGTCACGTGACGCGGAAATACGGCGAAACCGGAAGTAAGGACGGACGCCGGCAAAACGGCGCCAAACTTGAAGAGGAGAATATCATTTAAAAGGAAGAAGACCAACACTCACCACACACTTTGATAAAGACCTGGAGGTCGAAACGCGTTAGTGCTGTGTATTTTGTTATGTCATTTTAGCCTTTTCTGTATCCTTTATTTTAACCAGTAAAGTCACTTTTGATTATTGATACTGGATGTCCTGGAAGTTATTAAAGGGCGGAGAAAAGGAGCAGAGCTACTTGGAAAGCTGAAAATTGAAAGCCAGAATAAGCTTATTATTCACCTGCCACCTAAGCTAGAGCCAGCTTTATGTGGCTCTACACACTGTGAGTGACCCAATACCTGTGACCAATTGATGTCTTGTATATAACAGTGTTACACTATATATGTGTTTTTCTATTATAGGTCTAACAGGAGGTGTCCTACTTATATTAAGTATAATATACTTTCTTATTGCTCTATGTGCACCCCCCTTGTATTCTTTTTTCTATCACTTTGTATTTGAGTGCCATTTAGTGATTTTGGGCACTGGGGGTAGTTGCATATTCTCTGGCTCTATAGCGCCAATTCACCATTTCTTGTATTGTTAGCACCTGTCTGTTACTTAGCATCTTGATTCCTATTCTTCTCCATTTTGGCTATATATTTTTTTTTAATTAAATCACGACAGTGTAATAGATTATGTGTTGTTGTTCATCTGAGGTTGAATTTACCCAATAGAAAAAAAATAAACCCCCCGCCCCCGAAAGAGAATGGAAAAAAAAAATACTATTGAGGAGAACAAAGACTTAAAATTGATTTAAAGTTTTAAATACTTATCAATCACATGTTTAAAGTTCAGTGTTGGCTTTTCAACAGGATTGCAGATGACCTTGCAGCCAGCTAGGGTTACAAACAACTTTTTTTCTTTCAGCAAATTGTTATTAACATTATGTGCCAAAAACACTGCAAACCGCCAGCCATTTGTTATAGGCATACTGCACTGCTCAGCACTTCCCAGGAAAAACAACATTTGGAGATAGGCGTCATAATAGCATCTTGAAAGGTTTTTTTGTTTTTTTTCCAGAACCGTGAATTCTGCCAACGTACCTTATATTGTAATGTGAATAAAGCAATCTGAAAAAGCCTGACACTATGAAATACTAGTAAATAACAAAAACAAGAGAAGGGATACTTTTGTATATTGCCTAAGAGATAAGAACCACGATAAATACGTACCATAATATTGGCAGCAATTACTTCTGGATCATCACATTCTGATTCCACAAAAAATACCTAGATTTAAATGTACATAAATAAATAAAAATGAAATATCTACAATCATTGATTTGTAATATTTATTCTAATGCCCTGAAATAAAGAAGAATTCACAAAAGTTTTAGTTTCTATAGTATTTGGATGCAAAAAGCAATAGATTTTAAAGTTAATACCTGCATCTAGCAAAGGGATGCAGATTCTGTTGCCATGACTGAATTCTGTCTGAAATTTACTTTAGTAAATATTAGAATTGCAAATCAGGAATTTGGTCCAACACAAAAATGGCATTACAGTAGCACTTAGACCGGTTTATGTTTTGTGCCGCAAAAATCTTTTTATGTTGGAGGAGAAATCACAAATATGAAGACCGGCCCAAACTCTTATGTCAAATTCAGATCATTTAACCTGTCTTCCAGACAGGATCCAACAACCACAAAAAGGACTGCGATCAATAAGTAGTGTTTTATAAAGCAAACCGCAAAACCTAGTAAGGAGTGAACAACTTGCACTAAATAAAACAAATGAAAGATGAGTTAGTATAATGTATAAAAAGGTGGAAGATTTAATAACCCTATGCTACATATTTACAATTTGGAATTATAGATCTACATATGTTATGACCTTACATGTATGCCTATGTATCGTAAACATTATAAAAGTAATCATTCAGATGTATTCTCTGTAAATACTTTGGATTTACACATTAGTGTTTACTTTGTCTGTATACAGTGAGGGGGAAAAAGTATTTTATCCCCTGCTGATTTTGAACGTTTGTACACTAACAAAGCAATGATCAGTCTATAATTTTATGGTAGGTGTATTTTAACAGTGATAGACAGAATAACAAACAAAACAAAAAAATTCCAACCGCATGTCAAAAAAGTTGTAAATTGATTTGTATGTCAATGAGTTAAATAGGTGTAACGGATCACCTGGCACCCCGACTGGGTACCTCCGTTGATGAATGCTCCTAGCGCTTCCTGAGGACTCCAAGCACTTTAGCCGACACCACAACCACCACAGGCCAAACCTCTCTTCCTTCAGAGCGAAGCAGGAACAAGCTCTTAAAAGAGCTTAGGAGTGATTATAGCAAGGGAGTATGACAAGCATAGCAATCCCTTGTAGCAGATTTCCCCAATAAGAGACGGTACTCCAAATTGAGGGTGAAGTAGAACTGAACTTTTATTCAAACATTCTGCTTTTATGCCCATTCTACAAACATAGTACCGCCCACGGGGTTTTGAAGTACAACCAATCAATACATACAATACACTCAGACACTCCCACACAAAATCCTCCCCTCTGCCTGTGATATAATTACTGAACACAATGGGCTAACTTAATTATCACAGGCAGGAAAATACACAGTTTTGCACAATATTCATAACTCTAAAAGTATACATCACATTCACATAAAACTTACATTTTCAGAATCCAAATACAAACATACGTCAAAATCATACAAATCCTTCCATTGGTTTAAAAGTTAGGTCGAAGTCCTTTGTGACCACTGAAGCATGGCTTTCCAGCCAAAACCAGTTCCACAGAGTCCTCTATCCTGGAGAGAATTGGCTTAACTGGGTGTGGTAAGCCAACTATCTCCAAGTACAGAAAATGTCTCTATTCACAACAGCAGCAAAATTACACAAAAATACATAATTCCTATCATACTGAACAGAACCCCCACATTCAACCTATCCCCAGAGGGCTTGGATCTGAGCGCTCAATATATCCAAACAGCGCTCAGATCCCACAAACACAGTGAAATCGCCATGGGGTTTAAGTCTAGCATGGGCTGATGAGAAGGTCCATTGCATGAGGCAGGAGGCTGGCAATCAGGCTTCTCCATAACCCAGTGGCGAGGTTAGTTTCGCCACAATATTTATTTGATCTCCTATCAGCAAGATTTCTAGCTCCCATGTGTCTTTTATACAGGTAACGAGCTGATATTACGCACACTCTCTTAAAGCTCCTTTCCTGTATAAAAGACATCTGTCCACAGAAGCAATCAATCAGATTCCAAATTCTCCACTATGGTCAAGAGCAAAGAGCTGTCCAAGAATGTCAGGGACAAGATTGTACACCTACACAAGGTTGGAATGGGCTACAAGACCATCGCCAAGCAGCATGGTGAGAAGGTGACAACAGTTGGTGCAATTATTCGCAAATGGAACACACACAAAATAACTGTCAGTTTCCATGGTGCTCCATGCAAGACCTCACCTCGTGGAGTTTCAATGATCATAAGAACGGTGAGGAATCAGCCCAGAAGTACACAGGAGGATCTTGTTAATGATCTTAAGGCAGCTGGGACCATAGTCACCAAGAAAACAATTGGTAACACACTACGCTGTGAAGGACTAAAATCCTGTAGCGCCCGCAAGGTCCCCGCTGCTCCAGAAAACACATGTACAGGCCAGCCTGAGGTTTTCCAATGAACATCTGAATGATTCAGAGGAGTGAAAGTGTTGTGGTCAGATGAGACCATATATTCTCATATTCATAACTCCAAAAGTATACATCACACTCACATAAAACTTACATTTTCAGAATCCAAATACAAACATACGTCAAAATCATACAAATCCTTCCATTGGTTTAAAAGTTAGGTCGAAGTCCTTTGTGACCACTGCTCCAGAAAACAGCCCAGAAGTACACAGGAGGATCTTGTTAATGATCTTAAGGCAGCTGGGACCATAGTCACCAAGAAAACAATTGGTAACACACTACGCTGTGAAGGACTAAAATCCTGTAGCGCCCGCAAGGTCTGAGGTTTTCCAATGAACATCTGAATGATTCAGAGGAGTGAAAGTGTTGTGGTCAGATGAGACCAAAAAAAAAAGAAATCGAGCTCTCTGGCATCAACTCAACTCGCAGTGATTGGAGGAGGAATGCTGCCTATGACCCCAAGAACACCATCCCAGGGCCACCATCAGGGGGTGACAACCATGATGGGGGCCTGCCCGCCCGGCCCCACATGCAGCGGCGGAACTGCCGCCGGTGCAGTTGCACTGGGGCCCGCACGCTGATGGAGCCTATCAGGTGGCCCACGCATGGTCCCTATATCTTTAGAGGCACGGTCAGCGCTGTGACAGAGTAATAGCGCGACCGGGCCCCTTTTAAAAAAAAATGCAGGCGCAACGCAAGTGCTGCTGGAAGGAAGTGGTCACTTCCTCCCAGCTCACTCCGCGCGGCAGGAGAGCCAGACAGTGAAGAGGGAGAGCCGTGTCGACTCGCATCAGCCCCAGCCACCCTCCTGCAAAGACAAGGTAAGAAACAGGAGGGTGGCTGAAAAATTAGCTCTGTATGTGTGTGTGTGTGTGTGTGTGTCAGTAAGTCAGTATGTATGAATTTATGCATGTCTGCATGTCATTATGAATGTATTTATGCATGTCTGCATGTCATTATGAATGTATTTATGCATGTCTGCATGTCATTATGAATGTATGTCTGTACGCATGTATGTCAGCATGTCTGTACGCATGTATGTCAGTACGCATGTATGTCAGTATGTCATTATGCATGTGTGTATGGATGTCAGTGTCTGTATGCATGTATGTCAGTATGAATGTATGTCTGTCAGTATATCTGCAAGTCATTATGAATGTATGTCTGTGTGTATGTATGTGTCTGTATGACCTTATGCAAGTGTGTCTGTATGTATGTTAGTATGTGTCTGTCTGTCACTATGTATGCCTGTATGTCTCAGTATGTGTGTGTCAGTATACATGCCTATATGTATGTGTGTGTGTTAGTATGTATCTGTGTCCTTTTGTATCAGTGTGTGTATTCCTGTGGGCGGGATTTGGAGGCGGTCCCTGTGGGCGGGCTCGGAGGAGGGCCCCCGGGGGCCCAGACCCTGAGCTGAGTTAGGGGCCTCAAAGTTTCTGGTGGCGGCCATGATCCCCACCATCAAACATCAAAGTGGAAACATACTTTGGGGCTGTTTTTCTGCTAAGGGGACAGGACAACTGCACCGCATCAAAGGGACGATACACGAGGACGTGAACCGTCAAATCTTGGGTGAGAACCTCCTTCGCTCAGCCAGGACATTGAAAATGGGTCATGGATGAGTATTCCAGCATGACAATGACCCAAAACAAACAGCCAAGGCAACAAAGGAGTGACTCAAGAAGAAGCACATTAAGGTCCTGGAGTCACCTAGCCAGTCTCCAGACCGTAATCCCATAGAAAATCTGTGGAGGGAGCTGAAGGTTCGAGTTGCCAAATGTCAGCCTCAAAACCTTAATGACTTGGAGAATATCTGCAAAGAGGAGTAGGACAAAATCCCTCCTGAGATGTGTGCAAACCTGGTGGCCAACTACAAGAAATGTCTAACCTCTGATTGCCAACAAGGGTTTTTCCACCAAGTACTAAGTGGAAGAGGTTAAATACTTATTTCACTCATTGATATGCAAATCAATTTATAACTTTTTTGACATGCCCTTTTCTGTTCTGTCTCTCACTTTTAAAATACATCTACCATTAAAATTATACACATTTCTTTATTAGTGGGCAAATGTTCAAAATCACCAGAGGATCAAATACTTTTTTCCCCTCACTGTAAGTGCTGGGCTCATTGATTATGTTGTGAAACTAACAATATATTTAATAAATTGCAGGTAATAAATAAATAAATCACCTTATAAGCATTTTCCTTTGCAAAGTTTAGGATCAGGTCTCTTCTTTCACGAGTTGTGTTTGTGGCATCAAACACCTATAGGAAAACAATGTCAGACAGTAATAAGCCAGATGTTCTTTTTAAAGTGGGGCATGGTGACCCAAAGGCAAAACAAACAAAACCATGAACAGGTCTCTCTTCTGACAAGCCTTTCTAATTTATGAGTGGTTTCATCTAAACAGTGTCATACATGTGGGTTACCAACATGGGTTTGCGGTACCATTTCCAATATGTATGTTGTGCACAGAAACGTCACTGCTTGACAAGACCACTGGACGTTCGCTCTCAATATGGGGATGATATTTCTAATGGTTTAAACCCAAAGTTGGTCTTATAAAACCTGACTCAGCTGCCGCCACAGTATGAGACAGGTTTTGCCAGGTCTTGACAGGTTGACAGCATCAACATCCTATCACGGACAGCCCATTGAAAGAAATTGTATATTCTCAGTGATGGAAAATGGTTTAAGCTCTGAAGTTAAGATGGTGACCAAACACTAACCCCCCCCCCCTAACTTCAACGAGCTGAAGTGAGGGTGGGAGTGTTCCTTTAATCTTATCTTTACTAGTTGGATGTCAATTTGAAGTAAAGAAGGATTTGTTTCCCTTCTTATCTCATAATGGGAAAACAAAAAAAGTTTTCATTTTCTCTTTTTCCATCAATGGTGATTACAGGGATATATGATTGACTAAACCTTCATTACTATGTAACTTACTAGGAATCTTTTTCCAGTCCAGCGAATAATTCTAGGTTAGAATGCCTATGAATGGATGTAACCAAAGACAAGCACCATATACCTCAACTGGGTTTGCTTACCCCTATCTGACCGCCTTCCTCTGTTAAATAGAGCTTCACATCTTCCAAGGCGATCAGGGCACACTGCCTGCAGCAAAAAGGAATGAAAGCGTTTGTGAGAACAACAAAAGGTATTAAAGGTACCAAGGAAAGAAAATGCACAGAAGAGACATTTCTAAAACACATGCTATAGCTCATAACTCTGGTCCAAAATTCAATAAAAAAATCCCTCTGTGATAATATGGATATTCAGGAAATAACCACTTGCATAATAACTTTCTATTGATCCCGAAGTCATAACCCTCTGAGCAATAAACATCCCTGAAGATTGAAACATACTTGCGGATCCTCATGGCCTCAGCATTGTCGTGTCGGAAAAACTCGTAGGATTTGTAGGATCTAACAACTTCACGGCGATATGCACCAAGGTTAAATACTTGAGGAAAAAATAAAAGAAGAAAAAGATTTGGCAAAAGGAATTGACAAAGCACTATAGACTAAATAGGTTCTTTCAAAAGGAATATTGGGGAGATGGAAGAATACATTCTATAGCTTCAGTCATAATAAGCTGTGAGTTATACATACTAGGCAAAAACCTACATTTACACTATAAAACGGGACAGATTAGAAAATGGAAAAATACATTTTTAAATATAAACAAACATGTATAATTCACATTCTCAGAGGCATTAAGCAATAAAGTGTTACTTTTTCTTAAAGGACCACTATAGGCACCCAGCTCACTTCAGCTCAATTAAGTGGTCTGGGTGCAAGGGCCCTCTAGGGTTAACCCTGCCTGCTTCAGAGAAGCTGCTATGTTTACATATGGGTTAATCCAGCCTCTAGTGGCTGTCTCACTGACAGCCGCTAGAGGTGCTTCCGCGCTTCTCACTGATTTTCACAGTGAGAAGATGCCAGCATCCATAGGAAAGCATTGAGAAATGCTTTCCTATGGACTGACTGAATGCGCGTGCGGCTCTTGCCGCACATGCGCGTTCAGCCGATGACGTCCAAAGGAGGAGGAGAGTCCCCAGCGCCGAGGGAGCCCGGCGCTGGAGAAAGGTGAGTGTTTAACCCCTTCCTCCAACTTCAGCCCGGCGGGAGGGGGGCCATGAGGGTGGGGGCACCCTCAGGGCACTATAGTGCCAAAGAAAACAAGTTTGTTTTCCTGGCACTTTAGTGGTCCTTTAACCCCTTAAGGACACATGACTTGTGTGACATGTCATGATTCTCTTTTATTCCAGAAGTTTGGTCCTTAAGGGGTTAAGTGTTAAATAGCTTGACTCACTTTGAAAACAAAGAAACTAAATTAGATGGTTGAAGAGGAATCCATAACAAACAGTATATTATACATACTAACTTGTGAGCTAGAAGCAGCTGAATATTGTGGATTTATTTTATTTACTGCACAGAACAAGTGCACCCTTGAGCTAGTAGTTCATATCAAAGGTCATGAATGTCCAAAAGGGACAAGCAGCACTCGAGCCTTAAATTAAAATCTTTTAAATAAAGACATAAGGAAGCACTGAGTTTTTCCTGTGTTTTCACATACCTTTGGTGGGTACACCAATCCAGTTCAGGTATCTTGTTAATTTTTTTGACATATACGTTTTGCCTCTGGCAGGCAGCCCAATCATTACAATCAGCGTCGGAGAGTTAGTCATGTATGAAGCCCACGCTGCACATAGAAAGGAAAAAAAACATTTTAACAACATAAGAAAGAATATATGTATTCACTTCACATGCATTAAAGGAACACTGCAAACACCATAAGCACTATAGTGTGATCTAATAGTTATGGTGGCAGGAGTGCTGTGGAGCACCCCAACAAAAATAGTGGAACCATTTACTAATGATTTGACTTCTGAACAGGGCTAGAAAGAGGTCAATCCCTCCCAAAAACCGGAAAGGACCCACCAATAGCAAAAGACGAAAGACCTATAGTCCTTAAAAAAATAATAATAAATAAATAAATAAATAAACCCTGGGTATTCACAACAAAAAGGCAAAAAGAGTAACGTGAACAAACACCCAAAAAGGTGAGTATTAACTGGTAGGACATGGGTCATAATTAAGGAGACAAAAGAACTTAAACACAAAAAAATTGGGTGAACCAATGCTATGGTAGGTAAATTAACAGCAGGCTCTAGTAACTAACCCTAAAACAGGAAAGATAAAAAGAAATTAAAAAAATATATATATTAATGAGTCTTAAAATATTATTAGACTTATGACCCATGTCCTACCAGTGAATACTTGCTCAACTTTTTTAGCGTTTGTTCACTCTGTTTTTGTTCTCCTGAGCTAAGCCCTGCATTACAGGGCCAGCTCATTACCTGAGAGTGAATGTTCTCAGCCAATAAAATACACCCTGCACTACCGAATGTCAGTCTGAAGTTAGTCCTGCACCACTGTTCGATCGTCATAACACACGTAGAAGAAATTTGCATTTACGCAATAGCTTCACAACATTCTCCTGTGGCAATTAGATTTAGTGTAAAGTTTATATAACAAAGATGCAAAAGTAATAAAAAAAAAATAAAAACTCAAGGCTGAAACAAATATAAACATTTTCATTCAAGGTCAACAAAAGATTTGCACAAAGTTGCATTTTAAGAAACAACCTATGGGAAGAAAACAGATAGTGGGAATATTTCTTGGTTTGGAGACATTTATAAACCACTCTGCCTTCATTCTTGATGTTTATTGTGATGTCTCGTGAACCCATTGATAACATTCTTCTTCCTTTATACACAGTTCATTGTTATGTATCCGCTGCTAAAAAGATAGTAACAGGAATCGATTTTACCAGGAAGAATACAAAACCGATTTTTCAAATATGTTCTCAGGCATAGATAAAGCTTTATTTTGTTTTCTGGTTTAACAAACAACAATAATAAATAGTATTGCAGAAGCCGAGCACTCAGTCTCCACATTTAAATTAACCCAAGTGCATCTCCGGCATAGGTACAATTGTTGCAAAAAAGAGAGGACTTAAAAGTACTTTTTAAATGTTGCTTTAATTTACATAAAACAAAAAATAAGCATATCTGTTAACATTTCAGTTCACACTATGCAATGTTGACAGACGCACTAAAAAATTTTTGGAGCCATCTATAAATGAAAGAAACATAATTTAATTCCAGGTGTATTTGATTATATTTATAGTTATGCCTGACAGCACAGGCAGTCCCCCTGCAGCCAATCCGAGTCATGTGATGGCGGGATTGGCTGCATGTGGACTGCCGACCAATTTGGGATCGGCACCATGAGTAAGTTTTTGGGATGGAGAGGGGGGGGGGGGCAAGACTGTTAAGGAATGCTACCCTGCCCAAACATTGTTAAAGCCTTCCTTTTCTAGGATGGCATAACAGGCACTAACATTGGGAAGGGGTTAAAAGAAGCAAACAATTATAATTAAGGAACACTTCAAGATCCATAACCATTTCAGCCCTCTGAAGTATACAGTAATGTGTAATTAGGGGTAACAGTACGAACAAAGACGATACAAAATTTTAGCACAGCAGATATACTGATATGATTATAGTTATAAAGGCTTTCAAGGCGAATACTAGGATTCTGAATTTACTATTAATGATACAGGAAGCAATCCTAAAGAGTGTGACAAAGTGTATGCCTCCAAAATATGGAAGGTACAGATGCAGGACAGGATTGAGGTTGCAGAAGATATGCAAGGATGACTGAGAAAGTAGTGGAACCACTTTTAAAAGTAAGAAAAGAGGGAGTATAATGTCCACTCATGGCAGCCCATGAGCTGTTGGAGTGTTCGGTCAACCCCCATTGGGGCTCAGAGGCCTGCCTTGCATGCCTGGGATGGGGGACTCTAATATCCCCTTGGTTGAGGTAGGGTGATGTGAACTCTTGGAATGAGGTGGGAAGAGCCCTGAGTCCTCGTTAAACCCTCTCGCTGTTGCCTTTTTGCAAGGATCTGACAAAGCTCAGTTTACAAGTGTTGTTTGTCTTAAACGAACACTATAGGGTCAGGAACACAAACATGTATTCCTGACCCTATAGTGTTAAACCCACCATTTAGGTAGCCTTAAAACTCCTTAAAAAAGAATTTAAAAAACTCACCTTATTTCCAGCGCCGCGAGGGTCCGCCGGCGCTGGTCCTGCCCCAGATCCATCTCCTTGATGACATCGGAATTGTTGATTTTTTTGCCAATCCAATGCTTTCCCATAGGCAAAGAGGCGGGATGGGGGCAGGACCAAACTCCATTTGGCCAATCAGCACTTCTTCACAAAGATGTATTGAATCAATGCATCTCTGAGGAAAATTCAGCATCCCCATGCAGAGCGTGGAGACACAGAACACCTAATTCTCCTTGACCTTTTGGTGGCTTTTGACACTGTTGATTATCAATAGCTTCTTCTCATCCTCCGCAATATCGGTCTACAAGATATTGCTCTCTCCTGGTGTTCCTCCTACCTCTCCCAGTGCTCTGCTTCTTCTCCCAAACTCCTCTCTGTTGGTGTCCCCCAAGGTTCAGTCCTTGGTCCCCTACTGTTCTCCATCTATACTGCCTCCCTTGACAAACTCATTAGCTCCTTTGGCTTCCAATATCATTTCTATGCAGATGACACGCAAATCTACCTGTCCTCTCCTGATCTCTCCCTGTCCCTCTTGACAAGTGTCTCTGACTGCCTCTCTGCTATTTCTAACTGGATGGCTGCCCACTTCCTTAACCCCTTAAGGATCAAACTTCTGGAATAAAAGGGAATCATGACATGTCACACATGTCATGTGTCCTTAAGGGTTTAAACTAAACTTGACCAAAACTGAAATTCTGGTCTTTCCTCCTTCAAGTGTTGTTACTCCTGTGTCTGTCTACCTCCAAGTCAATGGTGCTACCATCAGCTCCACCACGCAGGCTCGCTACCTAGGTGTTCTCTCTGACTCCGACCTCTCCTTCAAGCCTCATGTTCAATCTATCGCCAAATCCTGTCATTGCGCGCATCTGCCCCTACTTAATGCCAGATGCGACTAAGGTGTTGGTCCATTCCACTGTCCTTTCTCGCCTTGACTACTGAAATCCGCTTCTCAGTGGTCTTACGTGCTCCCAACTTGCGCCTATACAGTCCATAATAAATGCGGGGCGAGGCTCATCTTCCTGTCCGCCCGCACCTCACCCTTCTGTCAGTCCCTACATTGGCTTCCTTTAAATATAGAGCTCAATTTAAAATTCTGGTTCTCGCTTCCCTCCTCCGTTAGATTCTCACCCAGTCTCCACTCCTTTAAAAAATCGTTAAAAACCCACTTCTTCATAAAAGCGTATCAATTAAACTGTTAATAGCTCCTGCAACTGTCAGTCTAGAAGAGAGTCTAATACTATCCTTACTTTTTTTGTGTAATTTTACCCCACTCCCTCTAGCATGTAAGCTCATTGAGCAGGGCCCTCAACCCCTCTGTTCCTGTGTGTCCAACTTGCCTGGTTACAACTACATGTCTGTTCGTCCACCCATTGTAAAGCGCTGCGGAATTCGATGGCGCTATACAGTTGCAAGAAAAAGTATGTGAACCCTTTGGAATGATATGGATTTCGGCACAAATTGGTCATAAAATGTGATCTGATCATCATCTAAGTCACAACAATAGACAATCACAGTCTGCTTAAACTAATAACACACAAAGAATGAAATGTTGCCATGTTTTTATTGAACACACCATGTAAACATTCACAGTGCAGGTGGAAAAAGTATGTGAACCCTTGGATTTAATAACTGGTTGAACCTCTTTGGCAGCAATAACTTCAACCAGACGTTTCCTGTAGTTGCAGATCAGACGTGCACAGCGGTCAGGAGTAATTCTTGACCATTCCTCTTTACAGAACTGTTTCAGTTCAGCAATATTCTTGGGATGTCTGGTGTGAATCGCTTTCTTGAGGTCATGCCACAATATCTCAAATCGGGTTGAGGTCAGGACTCTGACTGGGCCACTTCAGAAGGTGTATTTTCTTCTGTTTAAGCCATTCTGTTGTTGATTTACTTCTATGCTTTGTGTCATTGTCCTGTTGCAACACCCATCTTCTGTTGAGCTTCAGCTGGTAGACAGATGGCTGTTCTAATGTCTTGATAAACTTGGGAATTCATTTTTCCTTTGATGATAGCAATCCGTCCAGGCCCTGATGCAGCAAAGCAGCCCCAAACCATGATGCCCCCACCACCATACTTCACAGTTGGGATGAGGTTTTGATGTTGGTGTGCTGTGCCTTTTTTCACCACACATAGTGTTGTGTGTTTCTTCCAAACAACTCAACTTTGGTTTCATCTGTCCACAGAATATTTTGCCAGTACTGCTGTGGAACATCCAGGTGCTCTTGTGCAAACTGTAAACGTGCAGCAATGTTTTGTTTGGACAGCAGTGGCTTCCTCTGTGGTATCCTCCCATGAAATCCATTCTTGTTTAGTGTTTTACGTATTGTAGATTCACTAACAGGGATGTTAGCATTTGCCAGTGACTTTTGTAAGTCTTTAGCTGACACTCTAGGATTCTTCTTCACCTCATTAAGCAGTCACGCGCTGTGCTCTTGCAGTCATCTTTACAGGACGGCCACTCCTAGGGAGAGTAGCAGCAGTGCTGAACTTTCTCCATTTATAGACAATTTGTCTTACCGTGGACTGATGAACAGCAAAGCTTTTGGAGATACTTTATAACCCTTTCCAGATTTATGCAAGTCAACAATTCTTAATCATAGGTCTTCTGAGAGCTCTTTTGTGCGAGGCATCATTCACATCAGGCAATGCTTCTTGTGAAAAGCAAACCCAGAACTGGTGTGTGTTTTTTATAGGGCAGGGCAGCTGTAACCAACACCTCCAATCTCATCTCATTGATTGGACTCCAGTTGGCTGACATCTCACTCCAATTAGCTCTTGGAGATGTCATTAGTCTAGGGGTTCACATACTTTTTCCACCTGCACTTTGAATGTTTACATGGTGTGTTCAATAAAAACATGGCAACATTTCATTCTTTGTGTGTTATTAGTTTAAGCAGACTGTGATTGTCCATTGTTGTGACTTAGATGATGACCAGATCACATTTTATGACCAATTTGTGCAGAAATCCATATCATTCCAAAGGGTTCACATACTTTTTTCTTGCAACTGTATAAATAATAATAATAATAATATTAATAATAATACTGTACAGGACTGAGCCAGGAAGCACCTCCAGTGGCCATTTGATGAGTCCCTAGGGGCAATGTAAACACTGCCTTTTTATGAAAAGGCAGCATGAAAATATCAGAAGGCGATGATTATACTCACCAGAACAACTACATTAAGCTGTAGTTGTTCTGGTGACTATAGTGTCCCTTTAAATGTTTCCCCTTCAGCCTATCAATTATTTCTCGCATTATGTAGCTAGCTAGCCTCCTGGGGACTTCACCTTGCTAAATCTAAGGTTGATGTAAGCCTGTTAATACATACAATAGATATTCTACAGACATCTAAACAACTAGTTTAAAGAAACACTTTAGTGTCAGGAATACAAAGATATATTCCTATTTCTAAAAAGTGTCCCTCAGCCTGTTATGCATTAGGGTATTGCAGGTAGTCAAGCATTTACTTGAAAATTACATAGATGGGTTATAAATAAATAAAATAAAAAATAAAAACACACACACACACACACACACACACACTTTATAAATAACCACATCTCAGTGATCATCATCTACCCCTCTGTGACAATCCGTCCTCTGCCTTCTTATGCCTCCCACAATAAGACAGAAAGCCTTATTTATTTAAATATGCTCATTGTGTGTCCATAAATTTGAAAAATAACAAGTTTTCTTTCCTGTGATGTGTTTGTTTATTTTATAACATTTTTGCTGTGGAAAAGTGCATGTAATCTCTACAGAAACAAATGCTATTAACTGGGATTAATGGAACTGATTAACCAACAATGTCAATATTGCATGAATATATACTACTACATAACTAATCCAAATTTCATGCTGAATAGCCTTTGTACTAAAACGCATGTTAAACAAAAAAACTATATCGAGATAGATTATTCATGAAAAAGTATTTTATAAAAACAAATCAGATTTAAAAAAATTTTAAGTCATCAAATTTTATCCTGCCTGAAACAAATCTAGATTTCTCACCAATAGTGCACACCCCCTAGCTCCAGTTTTGTCTCCAAATTCTCCTACAACTGTCCTTGACATACTGCCCATGGCTATTATCATCACTTCCTCATAACTGCAGAGCTTTTCCCATGCTCTGCCTAACTTCTGGAACTCCTTCCAAACATTCCAAGGCATTAGAAACTTTGAAAAGTTGCCTATTGAGACAACCCATCCCCCCAATAATCTGCTATAAGGGCTTCTGAAAGTGATCAACTCCTTCTGACTTTCACATTAGCCATCACATCTCATATATCCCTTCATCACAATATAAATGTCCTTTTCAGCATCCTTCTTAATGCGTGCATCACTGCATTTTGAAATTGGTTCGTTCACAAGTACAAGGTTCCTTTTGTACCAATACACATCAACGCATTTTACATCATATTTCATCTAAAACTTCACTGGGTCGATAGATTTGTAGCTCTGTTCAAATATATACATTTACTTCTTACATAGGTTAAGCTACACAGTAGCTTATAGCAGCAGTAAAAGCAGTTAACAGTTCCATCCATATTATTTCTGATTTGCCCTGCAGATACACTCCATGCAAGTACATGTACCGTAAGAGGGAAGCATGTGAGGGGGAGAAGTTTAAAACTACAGTATTTTTGGCAAAATGCAGGAAAACACTGACAGGGAACCTCCTTGTTCTATAATTGATGTAAAGAGCATAAGAAATTGTAGTGGATGGAATATAGCTTTGAAATTTACCAACATACAAAAAAAATACTAAATAACAAAAACAGGATGGTTTAATTTCCTTTGTGGATCAAGACGAGCATACTTAAAAATAAATAAATGAGTGTTCAGTATAGCACACAGATCTAACTGTTCACAATAAGACAAAAAAGGTTTGCATATTCAACAGCACATTTCATAATAAAATTTACATTTAAATATGCTAAAACTTCATGTTGTTTATACTTACAGCATTTTTTCTCAGGATTCCTGGCTCCAGCCTTGCCTCCACCGTTGTTGCTCTGTCCTGGGTCCTGACTTTTCATATCAGACATTGCGGCTGCTCTGAACTGAAAAAAAAAAAAAACGTAATATTATGAAATAAGCAGAAAAAAAAGAAAAAAAAAAAAAAAAGAATAATCAGCCAAGTCAAAATAAATGTGTAACCAACAATAAATGACTGCCCTACTCCAGGTGGGACAGGATTATTCTAGTCTCCAGCTTACTCCAGTCTGCTTTGAAATACTCCACAGCACAGTATTATATAACAAGCATACTTGGAATGTAAAAAAAAACAAAAAAACCCTCAAACCTGCCAGAATCCAGTTTGTCTTTTAATTATATTTCATATCTCTACATGCTATCAAGTACATTGCAAAAAAATACTACCAGTAGGTAGAGTAATCTCACAGGCAAGGTTCTCAATGTATTGTATCATTTGTACACCTAAATATATAAAACAAAATTATGGTCAGTCTTTACATATCTCACCTGTGCCAGAATAATGATGGCTGGCACAAATAAAAACAAAAATAGATTATATAAAAAAAAAAAAAAAAAAATTTAATTAAAAAACTCTGCAATGGTAATTCATTAAAGTAGAAATTTCTTGGTTTAAAAAGATAATGTTCAGCATCAAAGGAAGTTGTGATCGTACAGCAGTTAGTGGGTTATCTGTAAGCCCACCCCAGGGTGATACATACTGAGACTGGCACATATTCCTCTATGTATTGGACTGAATCTGAGTGAACCATTGTGTGAATGTCATGCATTACCCGCATTACAGCCCACTATTATAATATGGATGTATAAACATGGCTCTCACCTCCGGCTGGCTGGCTGGCTGTAACCCGTGTGAGGTCGGTCACCAGGCTGTCTTCCAGTCTCTATCACAGCAGCCGGTGACCCAGGTGGGTAGGTTGAAGAAGACGGCGGGACTCGCTCCAGCTTGACGTCACGACGGGCAGTACCTTGCATAGCGCGGCGGCCATCTTTATTTTGGGCAAAGAAATATATTGTGACCGACACAGCAATGAAATAAGAGTCGACTGTTGGACGTTGATTCCCATGAAAATGAATGTACACAACCGAGTGCTCATCTTTATGGAAACGGATAATGATTTAAATGTTAGCTTGCCATAAAGGAGTTTTATTTTTTGCCCTAATCAAAGATGGCCGCAAGGTGCCCTAGTAAATCCCTCAGGGTTTCCGACAATAAGGTTTACATATGACTATTCGCCACGACTTCCTATTGGCTGACGCTGGTGGGTTGTTAGAGGGGAGTGTCCTTCGCGGCCAATCAAGGTTGACCAGTGCATTGGGGGCGGGAACATGGGGTTATTGAGTGCAGAGCCTAGCAACGGAATTGTTGCGCCATAGCAACGGGAAATAGTCATAAGGGGACCAGTGATGGTCATTAAAATGCGGCCAGTGTAGTTACACAGGACAGAATGACAATAGAAAAACACAAAACATGTCTAGGAGGTTTATTCATAAACACCCAACTGAAGTGAATTGAAAACCAAATTGTAAAAATTAGGGTAACAAACTGTAGCTATTGCAGAGTTCAGATATTGTTTTCAGATTGGTTACTTCAGAATAGGTTTTGCATTTTAATTTTCCATTTACTACAGTTTGCTGATTATTTACTAAACATCTTGGAGGTTTATTCACAAAACTCCAATCTTTGGCTAAAACAGCCAATTTGGAAGAAGTTTCTAATTCAGACAAAGGGAATAACGGGAGTGATTTCAGGATAGATATTAGGGGCAAAAAGAGGGGGACATGAACCCGGGTGAGTAATATGAGGAGAGGAGAAAACCACTAATTGCCCCTGGTTTCGGGGGTAATTCTATTTAAAACTTAACTTTTAATCAGAGTTGGTTAAGAAAATATACAATGGTTTGACCTGAGAGAATCAGTAAACAACATAAAGTTGAGTAATCGATGTGTATAAATACAAATTCCAAATATTGCACTTATATACAGTGACAGATGGGATCAGTAATCCACATAAAGTTGAATAGTCAAAATGGTTAAACACAAAACACAGGTATAGTTTATACATGAACAAAATACATGAACAAAAGGAAAATGTGTATTTACAACTATGTAATAAAGATGCTAGAGTTTCCCCTGAATTGTATGTAAAGTTGATAAGAGGTAGCGCTATATACAGCAGAAAAGAGTCATGAAATGTATCGTTCTGTCCGTCAGAATAATATGTAACCATAATCAAAGAGATGGCTTCATTGTATACTGCTGTTGTGCTTGCCAGGGGGAACCCTCGACTAAGCGGTACTCAGTATCTAAATACAACTTGTAAAATTCTGACAAAATATGTTTGATGAGCGGTCTAGTTAAATAACTGCAGAATCAAGAAACTGAAGCATAAAAGTAGAGAGAAAATCAATGAACTGCTCTGGAATTATCTGCGAGGGCACCTAGCTACAAGCAGATTCTAACTGTCGCTACAGAGCAGTTCCTAAACCGGTATCTGATTACCCGGGTATAGCGAAGGAATACGTGTGGCCGGTTCAGTCAATATTAACAGTATGTATCATAACGGCAAGCTAACCACGGGTAAATAGGGAGCCTCAACGCACGTTTCAACGGTTGGGGGGCTCTTCAGGGTAAAATGAGCCTCTGAAAGGAGAGGAAAAAGGTACATCACTGGTAACTTGAATTGGTAAGTTCATTTGGGAAGCTACATACACATGCAAGCGCATTATAAGGAAGAAAACTCAAAATAAAAAGTGTTACTAAAACAATAAATAAGTAAATATAAAAAATTACACTCAGCTATTATGGGCACCGATATTATTAGAATGATACTAGAATGATAGAAACACCTACCATTGCTCCTCAGGACAGGAAAGTTGCAACAGCATCCAAAAAAATAAAGCAGCGTGTTGCAACGTGGCATGTGAGGCTGTGATGTATCAGATTATATCAAATATAATCAAGAAAATAAATTTTTGCTAATATTCCTCCCACTAGCCATTGCAGGTATTGGTTGGGTTAGTCACTGAACTGGGAATTTCATTAAACTATGAAGGAAATTGCAAAAGAAAGGCCAAATTAACTATGCCACAAATATCCCGGCGTTAGAGAATGTTTGAATATTTTAACCTATGATTATTTGCATTTCCTTTTCAATTCTCTTACGTTTTCAGTTTAGTGAATAACTCTAAACAGCATATTGCGCTCATCTGCTATATGATACTAATTCAGATTAGGTTTGTTTATATTGACAATAAAAAGCAGTGCAGCACTTATATACAGATGCGTAACTAGAAACCACGGTGCCTCAGTGTGAAAATTGCCCTGGGCCCCCCCCTCCATACTACCCCCACCATCCCCCCATACATCAATCCTCCCACTCCCATACGCTCCCCGCACCTCTATCCTCCCCCTCCCATAAGTTCCTCCCCCCATAAACCTATTCACCCCCTCCCATACGTTCCTCCCACCCTCATCCCCCATACCTCTATCCATCCACTCCCATAAGTCCCCCCCACGCATGCAGGCAAAAAGATACACACATATACACAGATACATACAGGCACACATACATACAAACACACACCCATACATACATACATACACACACATATACACACATAGACAGACATACAGACACACACATACACAAACACACACACATACATACAGGGCCGGACTGGGAAAAAAAATTAGGCCCGGGCATTTTTCAATTAGAGCGGCCCCCCAAGAAGGGGGCTGGGCCAGAGAGGGTGTGTTTTGTCATCACTAATGACAAGCACGCCCCTTCTCAAAGTGAGCATGTTGGTTCAATGTGCAGAGCCCCGCTGAAGAGCTCTGGCTTTAGAAAAAGGCCCTGTATTTGTTCTGCGCAGCACAAGCAAATGTAATAACATGCTTGCACTGTGTTTGCTTTTAAATTGTCTCTGGTGTCTCCACAAGTGAGATACCAGAGGACAAAAGGGCCAGGAAAGTGTATGGTGCATGTGTTTGGCGCCTGCTTGTGGGATTGCCTGTGTGTAGAGTGTGGTGTGGTATTGTGTAAATAGGTGTAATATGTGTGGTGTAATATGTGTGGCTATGGGCTGTAGAGAGTGTGTGTATAGGGGCATAGTGTTATAGGGGATGTAGCGAGTGTGTGCATACGGGCGGTAGTGTGTGTGTGTATAGGTGATGTAGTGTGTGTAGGGGTTGTAGAGAGGGTGTGTTTAGAGAATGTTGTATGTGTTTCCTTACAAGGAATGTAGTGTGTGTGTAGGTGGTGCACTGTGTGTGTGTAAGAGATCTAGTGTGTAAAGGACCCAGAGTGTGTATAGAAGATTGTGTGTGTGTGTGCAGAGGATTAAGAGTGCATATAGGGTAAGGGATCTAGCGTGTATCTGGAGTGTAATGTGTGTAGTGGTGCAGTGTGAGGGGTGCTGTAGTGTGTGTGTGTGTGTGTGTGTATATATATATGTATATATGTGTGCTATGTGTGTCTCTGGGTGTGCTGAGTGTGTATCTGGGGGTGCTGTGTGTGTGTCTGGGGCTGCAGTTTGTGTCTGGGTGCGCTGTGTGTCTCTGGGGTGCTGTGTGTGTCTGGGGGTGCTGTGTGTGTATCTGGGGTGCTGTGTGTGTCTGGGGGTGCTGTGTGTGTATCTGGGGGTGCTGTGTGTGTATCTGGGGGTGCTGTGTGTGTATCTGGGGTGCTGTGTGTGTGTATCTGGGGATGCTGTGTGTGTCTGGGGGTGCTGTGTGTGTGTCTGGGGTGCTGTGTGTGTGTGTGTCTGGGGGTGCTGTGTGTGAGTGTGTTTGGGGGTGCTGTGTGTGTGTCTGGGGGTGCTGTGTGTGTGTTTGGGTGCGCTGTATGTGTTTGGGTGCGCTGTGTGTGTTTGGGTGCGCTGTGTGTTTCTGGGGGTGCAGTGTGTGTCTGGGGTGCTGTGTGTGTGTGTGTATCTGGGGGTGCAGTGTGTGTCTGGGGGTGCAGTGTGTGTATCTGGGGTGCTGTGTGTGTGTGTCTGGGGTGCTGTGTGTGTGTGTCTGGGGGTGCTGTGTGTCTGGGGTGCTGTGTGTGTATCTGGGGTGCTGTGTGTGTATCTGGGGGTGCTTTTGTGTGTGTGTGTGGGGTGCTGTGTGTGTGTGTCTGGGGGTGCTGTGTGTGTGTGTCTGGGGGTGCTGTGTGTGTCTGGGGTGCAGTGTGTGTCTGGGGTGCTGTGTGTGTTTCTGGGGGTGCTGTGTGTGAGTTGGCTGTGTGTGTCTGGGGGTGCTGTGTGTGTCTGGGGTGCTGTGTGTTTCTGGGGTGCAGTGTGTGTCTGGGGTGCTGTGTGTGAGTTGGCTGTGTGTGTGTGTCTGGGGGTGCTGTGTGTGTGTGTCTGGGGGTGCTGTTTGGGAATTAATTTTAAGTATATATATTTTTTTTATTAATAATTTTTTTTAAAGTTATGTCCCCCCCCCCTCCCTTCTTACCTTTAGCCTGGGAGGGGGAGGGAGCCGTTCTGCCTGGGAGGGAGAGCCTTGAGGGGACCATGCTGCATTCCCTGGTGGTCCAGTGGTGAGAGTGAACTCTAACCTGCAGGTTAGAGTTCACTCTCGCGAGATCTGAGCGTTGCCCCTCCCCTCCCTCACCCAGCCGGCGGCCGCATCTCCCTGTCTGTGGGCCGGTGAGGGAGATCTTTGATCTCCCCACCGGCCCATGGAGACACACAGCAGGGCCGGCGCTCGGATAGTGCCGGCCCTGCAGGGGCCGGCCGGGGAGATCCTGTGATCTCCCTGCCGGCCACGGCCATCGCGGCCCACCGGGCATTTGCCCGGTATGCCCGATGGCCAGTCCGGGCCTGCATACATACAAACACATATATAAAATGGGGTCCAGTGGTGGCTCAGCCTCCCTCCTCTCCTTCCTCCCGCGCGGGCTCTATGTATGCTGGGAGGAGTGACAGAGCAGTCACTTTCAAAGTGCTGACTGGGCCCCCTGGAAATTCATTGCCATCGGGTAGCCCTAATAGCATGG